GCAGGCTGGCGGAGGCGGAGGCCATGTACAATCGGGCGCTGCAAGGCTATGAGGAGGCTCTTAGGCCCGAGCTTCTGTCGTCGTATTTGCCAGCATTGAACACAATGTTCTCTTTCGGTGACCTTTACGTGCGGACAGGTCGTGAAGACATAGCGAAGATAATGTATAGTCGGGCATTGGCTGGATACACAGCTGTCCAAGGGCCTTCTTCAGAATGGTGTAAACAGCTTGAAGATCGACTTCAAGCGTTACAAGTTGCATCTATTGAGCCGAATGAAGACCAAGCTGAGTCTATAGAGATGGAAGCGCCGAAGTCGAGGTCTCTAAAGCGCGTATTCCGCAAGCTGGGAAGGCGGTTGGGCGCAGGATAGGCCGTAATAGTAAAATTATGTATTGAATTCTCGCCAGTTTCTTGCCTAAACCTTAGAATAGCCTCCAAGTCGTGAACTTGCCAAGTAACACTTACGACGATGGGAATGCGGATGCTCGGGTTTATCTCAGCAAGCTCAGACGGGAGGGGGAGAGAGCCTCGACAGGGGCAAGCCCCTGCTAGTCAATTGGAACCTGGCTAGTAGCCTCAGTGGCGCAAGCCCCATCTCTCTAGCCAATGAGGGTGTAAGAAAGGCTTTCTCTCCCCAGCGGAGAGAAACGCTACTAACAGGGGTCAGAAACCGCTAACCCCCAGGCCATACTCTATTTGGAGTAACAATATGCATGGTGGTTTGTGCGTCCTCGGTTCTCTCCTCACATCTGAGCTAGCTGAGATAAGCTCGGGTTGCTGGTAAGATTCACGCTAACCAAATCCATGATAGTGTAATTTAGCTCCAAAGGCTACAAACTGAGCTTGTTGGCCTGTTTAGCTTATGTTACACTGTGATCATTACGTGTGCGTGCACGTCGCGTCTTGGGAGGGCCAGGTTCTCGCTATGTAGTGGGGATGTTATACAAGCACTGTGCTGAAAGTGTGATGATGAACGACCCTTCTGTTATGCAGCAGGACGCAAAGTCTCGCAAGGCAGTACCACCTTCTAATTACATCCCTTGCTACCACATTTTCGCCACTGGGGCTCTCCATGGTTCTGGCGGAGCTTCTCCCTCCCCTACGTCCGGTACCGCGGCCTTCGGCTCCAACCCACCCCATTCTTGCTCAGCTTCCGCAACCTGTCCTTCGCTTCTCCGCTCCGCCCTGGGCCTTGGCTCTGGCGGATCCGCCTCTAATGCATCGCTCTTCCGCTTCCGACCACGTTTCTTCTTGCCTACGGTGGCTTCGGCCACTTGCGCAGCCCTCACAACTTTCTTCGCCTTGTTTGCAACCCTTTTAGCCTCTTTCTTAGCGTCTTTTGTAGCACGCTCTACTTGTGCCTTAACAAGGTCTTTATAGCTTACTACTCTTACTGTTCTAGTCTCTAAGATCTTTACCTTAGTTAATTAGCAAACTTTAGCTTTATTATTTATTTTAGTTAAGAACTAATTCTGTTCCTTAAGGAGGGCTTGTTTGGCAAAGGAAAGTTAGGCAGCATTAGTAAGCTTCTGTATGCCTCTGCAAGCGCTGTCTACTTGTCTTATTAACCACACAGGCATCCTGTTTAATTAGATTATGTAGCGAGGCAACAGCATCTGCTGTGATTAGCGTCACGGGCGTTTGCGGTACTTAGTCTTGCATACAAGTGTAACGATTCTACGAATCGTTCCATCTCGGGTCGCTCGGATCCTATCCGAAGGGTCCCCGTATCGGCCCCGACCATGACTCGACCCAGCCCCCTGCAGTTACCCCTATTCCCTCATGTATTTAGTCGCACCTCGCCCCTGTAGCTAGCTCGGTAGTTTTCTGATATCCTACGTACAAGGCCTATAGGTGTCATTAGTATTCCCAGGTCTCTGAGTCCCCACGCACTCCCATATGCCTCTAAGTGGATTCATACCGCATTTAGACCTATTGTCTTGCCTGCGCTGTTACATTATATTAGAAAACTTGCTTTTGCTAGTAACAGCCTTATTAATAATATTACATTAATTATTTGTTTAACTATGTCTAACTTTAAGAAGCGTCTAATTTAGTTTAGGTTACTGTTTTTACACACTGTTACATTAAATTATTTAGTTAGTATAGACAGGATTCTAGAGACCTTCTGTTAACTAAAGCCTTTAGGTTTAGAACTTCCTATCCCCTGCAATTAAGATTGCCTTTAGAAAAGTTATAAAAAGTGCGCTAAGGTAGAAACTTAAAGACTACTAATAACTTATTAGAATTAAGGACAACTACTAATGCCTAACTTTTAACTACTATTAGATTTTATTATAAAGACTACAACTTATTCTAGCTGCAGCTAAGGCAAAATGCCTACTTTTAAAACTAAACTACTACTAACCTTAACAGCTAAACTTTCTTTTATAGGACTAGAAGCTAAAAACCTACTAGATTTAAAGTTAAACTTTAGTAGCATAGCCTTTAAAAACTAAGTTGCTTAATTAAAAGCATAAATTAAATAGCTAACTAGATTAAAAACTGTTAGTTCTAATTATTCTCTACTAACTACTAAATTACCTCTAATAATGCCTTAAATTACTCTTACTACATTAATAGTAAGAGACTTTTTAGGCACCCTTAAGCTCTTTTAAAGCTACCTTACTAAACATATGCCTAAGATTAAGAACCTTATAGACAGCAAAGAACTTATGTTTAAATAATAGTAAGCCTTTATTACAGACAGACTTAACATTAATGTAGATTACTATTAGAGTAAGCGCGCACGCATAGCGCTAGTATAGGGACACACTGCTAGTATCGCGAAGGAATACCTAGAGCCTAGATACTTAGCTAAATTAGATTACTTTTAGTTTAGAAACATAAAAAAAATAATTAAGCTCTTATAAACTTACTTTATTACTAGTAATAAAGAAATAAAAGTGTAATAGGCGTTTTAGACTTTAAAAATAGGTAAAAAAGAAGCATTTTCTACTTTTAAAGCTTACTTTATTAGTGCTGCTGTTAAAGGGTCTATATTAAAGTTAGAATAGTTCTTCTACCTATAAAAAAAAATACTGCCTAGCTTAAAAGTACTAAACTTAAGTTTTAAACATACTTAGAAAGGCTTCTTTAAGACTATAGTAGCCTACTTAATAGCTTATAATATAGAAAGAAGGAACACCTTTACTATTTTAGAGTAAACTGTTAACTACACTTAATAATTTAATGTTAGACCTATTACAGATTAATCTTAGAAGGTTTTTAGTAATACATCTAAGGCAGTATACTATTCTAGTGCACTCTAACCTGCACCTATGTTAGTACTCTAATCTACCCTAGCTACCTACTGTTAACCTAGCTAGACACCTGCCTCTAAAAGACAGACAACTCCTAGCAACTATTATAATTATAGAAAACTAGAACATTTTACTAGCAACTGCCCTATCTCTAGGGTATAAGAAATAAAGGTAGAGTAGTAAGATTTTAAAGAAGAATTTATAGACATAAATAATTTTAATTTAGATGCCTTTTAAATAGGAAACAGTAACGCCTAGAGAAACTCTTTATTCTAGGCTTAAGTAAGTATAATTTATTAAATATTAATCTATTGCACTTATTTAGAGAAAAACACTTCTAAGTCTTTACTATTTTATATTTAAAAAGTATTAGAGTCTGTTTAAATCTTTTAGTTAATACTAGTGCTTATAGTTTTTTATTTATTAACTTACTAACTACTAAGTTATTATTTTAATGCTTTTATATCCTTATCTAACACTTACTATTTAAAGTTATAGTTAAGGGCTTTTAAGATTAGATCTAAGTCTCTATCTACTAGTATATCTGCCTGCATATGTAAATTAATAGAAGAAGCATCTAAAACTGCCCCTTTATTATTATAGACCTTAGCTCCTAAGATTACATTATTAGCATTAAATAGTTATGTTATTTTAAACTTTATCTAGATATAGAGAGGAATTAGATTATATAGTCTAGCAAATATCTGCCTACCTACAAACTTTTGCTGCCCTTGCTTATGCAATTAACCTAGCCTGCGCGCAATAAAGAAGTAGAGCTAGATATTAAATAACACAACACACTATAAGAAAAGGACTAATTTTAGCAGTTATGCAGCCTAACAATCTACTGCATTAGGGGTTTGCTAAGGCTACTAAAATTATATAGATCTCTTATTGTCTATAGTTTAAAAACACTTAAATTATCTTTCTGCTTATTTATTAAAAAGTCTAGAATAGGTCTAAAGGAGGTTTATTTAGCTACTATTACTCTAATTTTAGTAAATGCTTTTTATTTTAACATAAAAAAAAAAAAGAACAAGTTCTTTTTAACTTTTATTTATAAAATTAAGTAGTTAATTAAAGATAAGTAAGCCTTATAGTTAAACGCTAAATGTAAAACTAAAGCATTAGTAAACCTCTAATTGCCCTCTAAATACTATTAGTACTAAGATGTATTTAGCCACACAGCAGCTTACTAGCTACTAGTACATTATCTATATAACTACAAGATTGTTCTTACAGAGCCTCTCCCTAATAGTTACAGTCTGTTGTACAAACAGAACCTTAAGGAGCTAGAGGCAATAAAGAAATATGTTATAAATAATCTAAAATATAGCTTTATTAAGTAAAGTTAAAGCCCCTTTACATCTTCTATTTTTTATGTATAGAAACTAAATAGCAACTTATGTATCTACGTTAATTACTGTAAACTTAACACTCTTACTTGTAAGGATGTGTATCTAATACTGTGTATAAATAAACTTTTGTTAAGACCTACTAAGGTAGTAATTTTTACTAAGTTTAATATTTACGCAGCCTTTAATAAGATTAGGATAGATTTAAGCTTTAAAAAGTGTACTACCTTTTAGACATAATATAGAACTTATAAGTGTAAAGTCTTACCTTTTAGATTATGCAATAGTCTAGCAACTTACTAGCGCTATATAAACAATGTATTAATTAACTATCTAAATAATTTCTATATTACTTATTTTAATAACATTCTTATTTACTTTAAAGACAAGGCAACTTATATTCTTTATATTAAGAAAGTCTTAGAAAGGCTCTAGTAAGCAGGATTATAAGTAAAGATTAAAAAAAGTAAATTTTATGTTACTTAAATAAAGTATCTTAGCTATATACTTTTAAATAAAGGACTAGAGGTTAACCTAGAGAAAGTAGAGGTGCTATGCAACTAGCAAGCGCCTACTACTGTAACAGGTGTAAAATTCTTCCTAGGCTTTACTAGATTTTATTAGTAATTTATTTTAAAATTCTTTTATATAGCAAAACTAATTATTACGCTTTAGAGCCTTACTACCCCTTTTATATAGACTTTAAAGTGTAACATAGCTTTTAAAAAGCTAAAGTCTATGCTACTAAGTATACCTACACTCTACTATTTTAACTTTATGTTATAAACTAAAATTAAAACTAACGCTTTTAATAAGGTAGTAGCAGAAGTCCTTTCTTAGAAATAAGCAGATAGAAATTAGTGCTCTATATTATTCTATAGTAAGGTCCTATCTAGTTTAGAGCTAAACTAGAAGATACATAATAAAAAGCTATTTACAATTATTACTGTGTTTAAATAATAAAGGGCTAAGCTTACATCTATAGCAATAAGCACTCTAGTATATACTAATTATTATTTATTAAAGTACTTTATAATAATAAAAGTGCTAAATGCTTGTTAAGTCTATTAAGCTAAAAAGTTAGCTTAGTATTACTTCTAAATTAAGTACACCCCTAGTAAGAATAATGCTAGGGCAGACATTCTTAGTTATTATAAATAAGATATAGAAAATTTAAGAGTAGCTTAAACTAATAATAAGTTAAGGGTTTTACTAGGACTGCACTAACTGCACCTCTAAATTAACTCTAAACTAGCCTAGTACTATATTACTTAAACAACAACTTAAGTAGCTATACTAAATGTTATAAAAAAACTAAACTAGGTTATATCTTTAGATTTTTTAAAATTAATTAATATATTACTTTAAAAAAATTAAGCTTTTTTTACATAGAAGTAAGAACTTCTACCTTACTATTATTAAATAGGAAACAGACTACTTCTCTATGCTAACTACTTATGTGTGCTAGCAGACTTGTTACTGTGTACTTAACTTATCTAAAAAGTCTATAATTAAGTATCTTTAGCACACCCTAGTGCTACTAAGACCTATTAGTTACTGTTCTAAAAGTACTACTAAAAGGGTATAGAGGCTACTTGCAAATAATACGTACAGAATTGCCTCCCCTATTATAAAGCTTATCTAAAATAGACTTAAACTCTAGGCTTTATCTACCCCCTACTAATTCCTGCTTAACTAATGCAGCACTTATGCATTAACTTTAAGAAGTTCTCTAAAGACAAGTCTAGATATAATTAGATTATAGTTATAATTAATTACCTATCTAAACAAGCTATTTCTATTCTCTGCTATAAAATAATTAACGCCTAAAAAATAGCTACTTTGTTTATTTAATAGGTGTACTGTTTTAGCTATACACTTAAAACTATTATTTTTAATTAAGGACCTTAGTTTGTATCTAGTTTCTAGTCTAAATTTTGTTAAATTTTAGGCATAAAAGTTAAGCTCTCTACTACCTATTATAAAAAAATAAATAGCTAAATAGAGATTATAAATAAGTATATTAATTAAAAACTAAGGCCTTTTATATTTTTTTACTAAGATAACTAGAGTTCCTTACTACCTCTAATTAATTAGGCTTAGATAACCTTACTTTATATAATAATTAAAATGTCTTTATATTAAGTCTTATATAGCTCTAAACTATGTTAAAGCTAGAACTAGAAACATTCTACAGAACCTATTACAGCTATAGACAAGTTAAATTAGAAGAATGCCCTAGCATTAGCAACCTACATGCACGCAGCCTAGGAGCTAGCAAAGACCTATATAAAAAAGGCCTAAAATTAGATGTAAACTATAGTTAACTGCTACTACTAGCTAGTTAACTAGAAAGTTAGCAACATAGTCTACTTAAGCATAAAGAACCTAGCTGTTTAGAGACCTAGCTAAAAACTATCTAATTAATAAAAGAGTCTCTTTAAGGTACTTAAATAAATTAGAAACTTATACTACTTAAAGCTACTTTTAAAGTTAAAGATATATAACATCTTTACACTAAACATGCTTTATAAAGACCTTTAAGATCTACTTCTAAAACAAGAACTTCTAAAACCCCCTAGAATTACTATTAATAAAGTAGAGAAGTAGAAAGTAAAGGAAATACTTACTAGCAAGCTCTACTAGAAAACGCTTAAGTACTAAGTAAAATAAGTAGAACACAACTCTAATCTAGTTTAGTATAAGGCTTTAAATTTTATAAGTTCTCTCTATAAACTAAAGGCCTTTTATAATAAGCATCTAAATTAGCTAGGACCTTTAAGAGCCTTATAAAAGTAGATTAAAGCTTTTAAAGCTAGTGTAAAAGGTATAGATTACTTAGTAGATAATAAAGTATAAAAGTAAAAAGTTAGATTATATTTTTACATAATATTATTATAACTTTATAGACATGTTGCTTAGAAGGTCTAACAGCAAGCTGTTAGACACCTCTAGACTTTCCTCTTCCTTCTCCTCTGCCCTTCTTCCTCTCCTCCCTCCCCTCCTCCCTCCCCTCTAGACTCCCTCTAAACCCCCTCTGCCTTGTCCTTAGCCGCCTGAAAGCGCTATAATGTCTGCCTAAAGGTTAGACACTAGAGCCTTTAGGGCTAAAACTTGTTAGAGCAGCTTAGTATTCTAGTAGAATAAGGCCACCTAAACACTAGCTATAGGAAGCCTAGCTTCCTAACTCTTTATAACCTACACTACTTATGCTAGGTTTTAAGCAGACTTTAAAATAGCTTTAAAGGCCCCCTCTTTGTTTTTCTTACTCCCTACGTTTTAGGCTGCTGCCTACAGCTTAAGATAGCCCTGTAGGACTAGAAACTCCTTCTTGCAATATAAGAGGACCTACGCGCGCATTAGTAACTTATAACCTAGCAGTATTAGACTATATTTGTACAGAATTGCATTTCTTATTATGTAAAGTGTAATATTTATATTTCTTTAATCTAAAGGACTAATAGGAAAACTTAACTTAAAGGCTGCAGGTAAGGGCGTAGGCAGCCTAAAAGCAGATAACTTAAAACGCCTCTAAAGAGGCTCTAGGAGAGGGGCAGAGCAGCATAGTAAATTTCTTTAATACTATAATTAGTTAGCAGACTAAGCTATAGGATGTTAGGTGCACAACAATACTTATAAGGTAGAGAATTTAAATAATAGCTAAAAAAAAAACTAATAAAATTAACTAGACTATATAAGTAAGGTAAGTAAACACTTATTACTATAAATAATAAATTTACTATATTAATAATAACTACACTGCTAGTTACTACTAAACAAAAACATTACAACAGAGGCATTATATTAGTATTAGGTTTTTAGTCTATTTCTTAGTAATAGGAAATTTTAGTTAAGATAGTTGTACTTATTGTATTCTATCTAAATTAGTTCTAAATATTTTCTACACACTGCAGATAGGGACTATTAGCCTACAGAGGGGGGGGTAGTGTAATAATTCTATGAATTGTTCCATCTTGGGTCGCTCGGATCCTATCCGAAGGGTCCCCGTATCGGCCCCGACCATGACTTGACCTAGCCCCCCGCAGTTACCCCTATTCCCTTATGTATTTAGTCGCACCTTGCCCCTGTAGCTAGCTCGGTAGTTTTCTAATATCCTACGTACAAGGCCTATAGGTGTCATTGGTATTCCCAGGTCTCTGAGTCCCCACGCACTCCCATATGCCTCTGAGTGGATTCATACCGCATTCGGACCCATTGTCTTGCCTGCGCCGTTACAACAAGAACCTCTCTCCGCCTTATTAGTTTCTAGGATTGTTAGTCTAGCAAGCGGTTTTAGTATATCACTAAGTACCTTGTTGTTACGATCCTTGCTCCGACGAAATGGTATTTTCGGGAGCACTACGGCCTATGGTTATGTTAGGGGAGAAAAGGAAGGACTTAGCTAGATCGGGTGTACAGTCCGTCCGGCAGAGTATAGGTAGGGCGAGAATAGAGAAGGCAGGTCGTGGTTTGACCCAGCGGCTGTATGGGGAGCTGGTCAACCGATCCGGAGGATAGGATAGGAGGTATATATGGTGCAAGATATACAAGACGGCAATGTCCTCTTCGTAAAGGTGTCAATGCCTCTCAGTCTATTGTGGTGTAAAGACTAAACGGTAATCACGGCCTTCCAACTATGGTCGTGATCGAGACTATATACATGAGGTTGCATGTAGTGCATGCCATGCATGCTTGCATGCTCTCTGCCTGCATTACCTGCAGGGCCTGCAAGCCTGCAATGCTAGGGTCCCTATTGGACAATGCATTCCTCTATGCATTCGTCTAAAAGCCGAAGCCATTCCTCATCCGGCTTGTCACGTGATCCGTCTAATACGGGGTTAAGCGTTGTCCATCCGACGTCGTTTCGGCTGTGGGGTACAGCTGATTGGTTATTTACGGTCTGTTCGTTGGCCGTAACACTTGTCTAGGTTAAAGGGGAAAAGGCCAGCCTTTGCCCATCCTGCCCATATGTTCCTAGACGTAAACGCTTGATCCCTTGCAGGGCTATATAGATAGGTGAAATGCTCCTTCCCTATTGTTCCTACACATCCTCGCTCCAGCTGCTTAACCTGTTCGCGGTAGGCTACCTTCAGCAGGCTGAATACTGAGATGTCGCAGGGCTGAAGTTTATGGGAGGTGTGAGAGGGGATACGGCATAGGATAATGCTGTTTATAAAACAAAACTCTAAGATCTCCAGGGTCTTATGCGTCCCAAAGCCGTCACATATTAGTACGCGTGGTTTCTGGTTAGCCTGCTCTTTAGTCTAGGGGTTAAACACAAGCTTAAGCCACTGCAAGCTAAGATATAAGTCAGTGTAACCGCTGTCTAAGAATGCATAATGCCATCTAGGAGTGGGGTGCGTGCTCTAGTTAGATTAATAAGTAGATGCAGGCCAGATTATTATAGGGTTTAAATGCCTACTGTCGGCACTCACGCATTTAATAGCAGTGACCGTTGTTCGCTTAACGCGCGCACCTCTATAGCCTCGCTAATCATCCCTGTGAACAAGGACCTTAACAGAGTTCAGTTTAGAAAGCATGACACTAGTCTTGTCCATGTTATAGACATTCTCCTGCAGAACAGCAGGGTCCAGCAGAACCTTTCCAATAACCTCATACCAGTGTGTGACCTTGTTGTAGATATTATAACAGTTCCAGTCTAGCGCCCTAGCTTTAGTCGCTTTAAGATCTAGGTGGCGCTTGTAGAAGAACTAGGGCCAGTTCTTCCTAGGAGGTTTGCTTAGTCTGTTCGCTGGCGTCTGTTGGCAGGCGAGACTAAAGGCTATTAAACCTATATATTTTATCCAGACAGGGCGCCTAAGAGCACCTTAATGTGCTATAAACTTAGCAAGGGCTTTCTCTTCCTATAGATAGAGATATTGTTAGCTCTGCGCCTTCTCTTTAATCAACTGGCGTTTGCGGTTACAATGCTGAAGAGTCGTGCGAGGCACACCGTGACAATCTGCTAAAGCCCGGAACAATTTTAACACGCCGGGAGGAACACCTAATGCCAGCGCCTGGCTGGCTCTGTCTATGTTAATTTGTTACGACGTGACACGGCGACAGATACGACGACTGAGCGCCAGCTTCCAGGCCACAACAAGAGAACACGTTGCAAAATAGAAACAGCACGTGGTCATAGACACTTCTAGAATTCTACAGCTATGCGCCACAGCTAACTTCAGAGCTTGGTCGCCTATGATATAATACATTTCAATACCAACAAGGGCCTCTTGCTAAACTCTGCTAAGGATTACGTTGCGTCACAAGGCTTTAAACCCACCCTCTAATCTACACAGAGAAACTCTCAGAATCTATATTGCTAGGCTGAAATGGCTTTCTAAGCTTAAAACTATATTCTTCTATAACAGTGCCTTCTCCCTAGTATTCTAGTTATAAGAGACACCCCTCTAATTGCGATATAGCAAGGGTGGTTAAGCGAAGGAGTGAATAACAAAGTGAATAAAAAGATCAACAGTGTGAGCAAAAATTTAAAATTCTCTTCGCGCACTAGTATCCCGGTAGAGAAAAGGTTAAAAAAAATGGTGAGATAAGGACGATGTCTTTGCTGACTTGCAAGGTAGACTTCTAAGGGGTCGAATTCGGAAATGCGGCTCGCGTTGTGGGGTGGCTCGCGACATAGGGATGGACGTTACAAGTTTTTGAATTCGAAGCCATTATAGCCCTATCACGAAAGAATATAGCTCTACTTTAACGTGTGGCGCACCATGGCAAGCTTACAGCAGTATCCATGCTCATGGGGCCAAGCAGCCCCCCGCTCTCTCATTCCCTTTCCCATCACCATCACTACAGCCAGATACTGTGGACCAAGCCGGCTAGTTGCTAGCGCAAGGCCTTGTTTCAGGAAGAAAGTCGTTCCAACAAGTCTGAGGAAGGCATTCACCCGTGTGTTTGCAGCGCAAACATTCTAAGTGACCCGAGTGGTTATTGTAACTAGCAACCATTGATTCTTCGATTGCCACCACAAGATATGATGTGTCGGGCCCTCTTAGAGCTTTATTAGATGGTACAGGAAGAATGCTGAATAACGTTGCTTGACTTGACTAGCTGAAAAGATGGAAACATAAACCAAAAATCAGACCAACGCGACGTATACCTTTGCTTCTTGCAGGTCATTCCATCTCTCAACACTCTCTCTAGACCACCTTATTTTGTAGCAGCTTCAGCCATGGCATCTACCTTATATAAGATCTCTCGCCTGGATCTTGAGGAGCTTGAAACCCCTGCGTTGGCTTCAATCACTGACGTCAAAGCCCTGTCCTCTTATAACTGGATCGAGGCGCCCAATTCCACGCCTACAATCGCTGTCCCTGGGAGCCCAGCTCTTTGGTCATCACTAGGAGTTCCTCGACGGCTGAAAAAGGACTCTGGCCTAATCTACATTACCTAGAATGCAGCTCGCCATCCAGAAAGCCCTCTTTGAACCGCTATTACGTGCGTTATACCTCACACATCCTTCATTCGATATCCGTTCGACTGATGTTGTGACTGACCGAAACAACATCCGTAAGCTCTTCTCGTTCATAAACCCTAGCTCCACTAGGAATGGGCTCGAAGCATTCACCATAAGCATCGAGGTAACGAAGAATACCGCAATATTCTGCTGGGATGAGACCAAGACTCTGGAGGAAATCGGGCCACAAGAATCCAGGGGCTTTGGTCACGAATTCGAGAAAGCGTATACTATTACCCAAATCAGCGGCAGCACTGGACATCACAGAATCATCTCGTACCGCTTCAGTAACCTGAATTGCATTGTCCGCCACGAAACGGACGGATATGTTGACAATGATCCGAGGGCGTCTTCAAAAGCGAAGAACCACACACGGGATGGTCTCTCTAGCATGTTGAAAACATTGTCTCTATCTCCAACCTCCGGATCTCCTTGTGACATTCCTACTGCGTCCAAATTGACAATCAAAGAGGAAGGACAGATAGTACCGCTGGAATCAACCCTTGAAATCAAAACGCGAGTCTCACATAAGTACCTTGATATTGAAGAGGTTGCACCACAGCTCTGGATATCTCAAACCCCCAAGCTTGTGCGAGCATACCACCAAAATGGTACTTTTCAGAGAACAACGCAAACAGAATGACCTCAAGAAACTGGCAGCATTGATTCGAAAAATCATCAATATCGTGAAGGAATGTGGGGGTAACGCTGTGCTCAAGTATAACGTAGAGGGAGACAAGTTAGTGGTCTGCAAGGTGGAAAGGAAAGAGATGCTTCCAAAAGACTTGTATTCCAAATGGGATGATAGGCATCACCTTGGAGCGGAAACTGACGCCAAAAATGATGGCATACAAGGACCCAAGATTGCTCAAAAAAGGCGAGAGAGTATATCTGCGGTAAGCGATATTCGAAAATAATCACGAACATGGCGCTAACGTGGAGATTTTGAAGACGAGAACCATGAGAGATGATTTCAAACTGACAATCAAAATTGGGGACGTGGATTATAGCGTTCATGTGTCCAAGATACCGTACTGGGCATCCTTTGTTCGACTCCAAAAGGTTACTCATCCTGAATCAACGGAGTTTATTCATGAGCCAATCAATCTCTTCGATGTGGCTCTCAGAGGAGTTGAATCGGGCTACCGCCAATGTTTCCGATCTCTATCTACCAACCTCTCCCAATACCGTACACTTTTCGACACGTACAAGTTCCTCGACGTTGACGTACTTGGCAGCCTATCTATCGACGAGGTAATTGCCAATCTCAAGGGGGGTAAGAGCTTGGCACGCGATACAGCTTTCCAGCTCTTGTACCTGATACTGTATGCTCAGTTCGGAGACGAGAGGAGACCGCTCATGAAGCTTTTCAACGCCGTGATGTTCGTGGTATCGCATCCAAGGACTTTTAAGTACCGCGCAAAGCGGATGATCCGTCTTGCGTACGAGGAGCGATTCAGAGTAACGACCAAGCAAAAAGCGAGACTGGATGAGTGGGAGAAGGGCGAAAGCTGCCAACCATGTGACTGATGTGACCACCGAGGTGGAGGCTGATTACTATATTGATTCTGGTGATTACTTATTTTAGCAGGATTGGAAGCTTTTTGAACTCCGCAGAATAACCAATTTAAAAAATTCAAAAGCTGATTCTGCAGTTTACAGTACTGGAATGGAGTCTCGCAGCATTGCTTCTGCACACGTGGAAATTCTCTCCGCCGGTAGGAGAAGATGCATTTGCTACAGACCTTCAGAGACGGAGACTTAGTAAATCATTCCCTAAATTAACTTACAACGTAATTATTATATAAGACGTACGGTGTTGCTTGACACTAACTAGGACCATTAATCTTTGACCTTGCGTGAATTTATGCGTCATAGCAGCCAAAAGGGTGATGAAGCCTTCTGACAAAAGTAGAATTCCTACGGAAATCTAAGGCTGGGAGAGAGGTTATTTATAAATTTCGATAATGGTATAAGCTTGGTGGCGATGTTATGATAGAGGAATCGTGTGGCGCTAAAAAGGAGGGGTCTCTTTTAATCAGTTGTGATGGCGACGACGATACGAATGCAATTTTCAGGTAGGAGCGGTCTCTAGTATTCAGAAGTAGCGACAGCACACGACTTATAGACAACTATAGGAAACATTGACGGGTGCATAGAGTATGAGTTGTTTGAGTCAAAGTGCCCTTCGTTTTTTTTTGGCACAGTGGGTTTTTCGTGACACGGAGGAATGTGTTTAGTGTCGCTGTTTGTTAGAGTCTCCTCGTGAGAAGACTTGTGTTTATTAGGCTTCGTTACAAGTTTTCTTCTGCGCGCTTGCGGGCCAGTGCATGTGTCATGAAATCTTCGAGGTGGTCTCGGATTACACTCCAGGGATAGTCATGACTGTAGTGAACTCTGGCAGGCAAGCAAGGAGTTGCATAGCGGAGTCTGCTTTCGAGATTTCGCAGCGAGGGTCTCAGAATTTCTCTCGACGCTGTCCAATCGTCTCTCTACAACTTGTTAGATTTGAGACAGAAACCAGCATCCTTGATTTCCAGCAAGAGGGTGATGGGATCAAATCTACTCTTGTTATTGGCCGTGATATGCGATAGCATGCTGGATATCCACTCTATATAAAATTATGTTCTGTAGTGTGCAACAACATGCTGTTGTTGAGAGAATAGTGCAGGGGAACTTAGAGGTGGATGTTATGAGTTCCTGCGCTAGGTCCTCCTACTTGATATACTTCTTCAACCCTCTCAGCCTCTCCTGCGCCGTCTCCAACACATCATCATTCTTACACACCGCAAACCGCAACCAGTCCTCCACAATATGCGCATTCTTCGGCGTGAAGAACTCGGTTGGGGGAATTGCCGCAACGCCGACCTCCTTGATCAAAAACCACGACAACTTGAAATCCCTCGGTCGCTCTGCAACATGTGGCGGAAAGACATAGTCGTCTGGTAGATGAACCTTGGACATGTTGACTAGGACAAAGTATCCTCCCTCTGGGTCCGAGTATGGCAGACCTAGCTCGTCCCATATTGCGTTGAACTTGTCCATCTTGCCCTTCATCTCCTTCTTCGACTCGTCCCAGAAATTGTGCGCGTCTGCTTGCTCGAAGCCGATGGCGGTTGCTTCCTGTAATGGCGAGACACTGCTGTAGCATATTCGCGTGTGTGCAGCGCTGACGTATTTGATGAGGTGCTCTGGGCCGATCAGCCAGCCCACGCGCCATCCTGTTGCGTAGAAGTTCTTCCCTCCCGATCCGACCGTCAATGTGAGCTTGTCGATTTCGGGGGAGAGAGTGGCGATGCGCGTAAAAGGGACATAGTATAAACGGTCATAGACCTCGTCGGAGAGGATGATGATGTTGTGTTTAACACAGATGTCGCCGATAGCTTGGAGTTCTTCCCGCGAGAAGACCTTGCCGATGGGGTTGTGGGGGGAGTTTAGCACAACCATTCGCGTCCTTGGGGTGATGGCTTTCTCGAAGTCTGGCATATTTATTTTCCACTCTGCTGCGGAGGATGTCGTGGTTGCGCCGTCCTTTGGAGGATGCATGGGCACGTATACAACCTTTCCACCGGGCATCTCGATGTTGCTAATGTATTGATCGAAGAAGGGCTCGAAGACAATGACCTCGTCCCCATCTTCGAGAAACGCCATGAAAGCGCTCAGCATGCCTTCGTTTGCGCCTGTTGTGATTGTGACCTCCTTCTCCGGATCTATTGTGCGGCCGAAGAACGGGGAGTACGAGTCTGCGATGGCCTTCTTTAGCCGCGGCCGGCCTTTTGTGGGCGAGTACTGGTTGCAGTCGACATTGTCTAGGGCTTGCTTTGCGGCGTCGATGACGAACTGGGGAGGGTTGTAGCCAAAGAAACCTTGGCCCATGTTTACGATGGGCTGGACGGGGGAGGCTGCGGCAGCTTCATTGACGATGCTCCTGTGACTTGTGTGAGTGGGTGGTGGTGGGGGGGAAGGGGGGGCAGTTTGGCAGTCAATTGGCGTACCAGACATCCTGCCTCTGCCCGGCGACCCTCGCCGCGGGCTTGAAAGGGTCAGCGCGTCTGGATGTCGCGGACATTGCTCGTAGAGGGGAGATGGCGGGGTGCTTTAAGCTCGATATGGGCGGCCGTTTGGGGGTGGATAGCGGGTGAACGAGGGTTATTCGAGACGCAGAGGGAGTCAGGCCTCTCATCTCCAGGCGAAGAGCGAGCGTGTAGCAGTGGGTGGAGAGCTGGTTGCTTATCCAGCATGCCAGCGTGCTGTTGTTATTGCGTGCTGGTCTTCAAAGCCCGCACAATTCCGTCATCAGCCGGAACTACGAGGACAGCACCATACAACTGCGACCGCGACTGCGACTGCGGCTGCGGCTGCGGCTGCGGCCGCTGCAATAAGACAGGCTTTCCGATGTCGGCGTGTCAGCGTGTCGACGCGCTGGGCGGGCTGGGCGTATCCCTTCCCCGGGTTGGGGCTGGAATTAATTTACGCGACGAGCAGCTCGCGAAGCTGCCTGCCTGCTGCCACCCTGCCCAAGTGCCTGCACTCCCACCCGTTCTCGACATGGTTGCTTGCCCTCTTTGCAACAAACAAGTCAAGGAATCTCTGATCAACGAGCACATCGACGATGGCTGTCAGTCGCATATCGTCGAGCAGAATGACACGTCTGCCACCCACAAAACCCACAGCTTCTTCTCCACGTCTGCGGTGAAGCGCGTGGCGAACTCTGCTGCAAAGAACGGAGTCCCTGCAACCTCAGCGCCTGCTCCTCCACCAGCCGCACCGCCTGGAGACCGACCAAAGACACCGCCAGTCGGCACCAAGCGCCCCTTTGGCGAAACTATTGAGCCTCAAACTATTGGCGATGCCCGTTCCCCCATCCTCCCGAAGAGGACCAAGTTGACTGTCCTGCACAAGGTCGCCCCTCTGGCAGAGCGCATGCGTCCAACCTCACTGGACGACGTGTGCGGCCAGGAGCTGGTAGGCCCCAACGGGCTACTCAGGGGCATGATCGAAACCAACACTATCCCGTCCATGATATTATGGGGCGGCCCTGGCACTGGGAAGACGACTATCGCTCGACTCATTGCGAACACGTCCGATGCTCGCTTCGTCGAGATCAACAGTACTAGCACAGGCGTTGCAGAGGTCAAGAAGATATTTGCTGAGTCCCTGAACGAGCTCCAGCTCACAGGCCGGAAGACCATCATCTTCTGTGACGAGCTGCACCGCTTCTCAAAAGCCCAACAGGATGTCTTCCTTGGCCCTGTCGAGGCAGGTCAGGTCACCCTGATTGCAGCCACAACAGAAAATCCGTCCTTCAAGGTCATCAACGCCCTCCTCTCGCGCTGTCGGACGTTTACTCTCGCGAAGCTCTCCGACGATGACCTGGTCAAAATATTGGAACGAGCCATGGAGTCCGAGGGCTGCACTTCCCCGCTCCTCGATGCCGGTATGTTGCGGTATTTCGCATCGTTTGCCGATGGAGATGCCCGAACGGCTCTAAACCTGCTCGACCTCGCCATGAGCCTGTCCAAGAAACCCTCAATCACCGGAGAAGACATTAAGAAGGAGCTCACAAGGACGCTGGTGTACGATCGAAATGGCGACCAGCACTACGACAGCATATCCGCCTTGCACAAGTCGATTCGGGGGTCAGACCCGGACGCGTCGTTGTACTACCTCGCTCGAATGCTGCAGTCTGGAGAAGACCCGCTCTACATAGCAAGGCGGCTCATAGTAGTCGCATCCGAGGACGTGGGGTTAGCAGACAACACTATGCTTCCACTAGCAACAGCAGCGTACGCCGCCTGCGAAAAAATTGGCATGCCAGAGTGCCGGATAAACCTAGCACATACGGTAGTCGCGCTCTGCCTCGCTCCCAAGTCGACCCGAACTTATCGAGCACTCGCAAAAGCTATGGCTGCTCTAGAAGAACCAGGGATAGCTGGGTTACCCGTACCAGTCCATCTGCGCAATGCGCCCACACGATTGATGAAAGAGATGGGGTATGGCGCTGAATACAAATATAATCCAGATTACCTTGGCGGTAAGGTGGCTCAGGAGTATCTTCCTGAGAAGATTATCGGAAGACGGTTTCTTGAAGACGTAGATTTAGGGACTAAAGTAGACGAAGATTTGGAAGACGCCTTGCTTCCGGAGATAGATGACTGAGGCTAAGTTCAGATTGAGCTCGATACCGACCGCGGGGAGCTTATAGGAAGTGCACATACACTCTGCACCTTTAATAGAGCCGAGATTCCTTTGGAGTTTTCTAAAACACGGACGACAGCCAATTGTCAGATGGAAGAGGACATCACCTCTCGAGACAAGCACGATACCCCAATATTAATCATTATTTCTTCCTTATTCTCACACGAGGCACTCTCGTCTGGACTGACTTGGGATTTCAACAGGCAATACCAAGAATAATTTCCACCGACCTATTTCAGGCATGGAAGGCAAGTTTACAATGCCCATCTCGGCCCCCAACGTCCCGCTCGCCTCAACCACTTCACCTCTTGGCAGTTTCAACACCTTACCCCTGTGTCTCTGTCGATCAATTTTGATATTGACCGGCCATTGGCTGTATCGCATTCATCGTTTTCGTTCGGGTGAACAGTACGATGACTGGGCCAATGGACCCCACTGTGGCTGAAATTATCCCGAAAAGACATCGGCATGCCGAGAATGGATAAGCTTTCATGAGGCTGGATACGAGCCAAAGCAGCTGAGAGGCGGGAAGGCGATGCTTGGCATTAACGTTGAGGAATTCCTCTCTGGTTGTTCCACTCGTGGCTTCTCATGGCATTCTTTGAGGGCGAGGCTGTTTGAGAAGATGTTCCAGATATTCGCAATTCCGTAATTCCTTGTCTCCAACTTCATAATCAACATGGAAAACTATTTCGTAGTCCCCTCGAGTGTCACCATGCTGGGAGCGATTCCCAAAAAGGAGAACTATGAAAACGCCATTGCCAATCTCTTCTTCCGCCAAGGACGCACCCCATCTTCATCTACCAAGAAACAGTTATTTTTGGCCTCAGATCCTGATTGCATCCCATCCAGCGCCCTATCATGTATCACGACATCCTGGTCATTTCCTCAATGTGTGAGAGATTCAAAGAACCCGCAACAGATCCCTCTAGACCGCTTGGCCGGAAGAGTAGCAAGCTTATATCTGCAGGGTGCCCCACTTGAAAGCACGAGCTTCGGGTTTCGTACCTTTTTGCTGGCAGAGTTTGGTCCACGGTGGAGATTCCTCCGCTTTACATACGTGCAACAGACCTCCACTTCATTTTGTAGGAATCCCAAGCACGTTCTTTCAAGATGTCGAGTCTAGATGGTGTATACACGCCTTTCAAGTCGTACCCGGGGTATTCGAGCATGGCGCCATGCATGCGGAACTGCAACGACGAACTCGGTACAGGACTCTTTTCCTGCAGTTGTTGTATCCACTTACTAATGGTGAGTTGTAGGGTACAATGGGTGCGACCAAGCGCGCTGCTGGTGCAACAAAAACAATCTAGACCTTCGAATAAGCTCGATGACGCGGTGTGCATCTACTCGATGTACTTTTGCCAACATGAATACGATGACGGACATGTCAACAATCTCCGCCATCCAGGTCCTGTATTGTGATGATAAAGGATTTTCTCCAGCGGGTATGACCTTGCCGAGCACTATTGAAGCAATTACTACGGCGAGTGGTGCAATGCCGACGACTCAGGCGGCTACAACGACGAATCCAGGATCGAGGCAGACGTTTGGGGGTCCAACAAGTACCTCTGGTATGTGTGTATTCTTGCCTCTGGCTCAATTGAATTGCGCATCAAATAGCTCTCTTCTCTCCCATGGCCAAATTGTCTCTTCTCCTACCCCAACATCACTTCCTGACATGCCCCAGACTCCCCACTCTCTCCCTCCACTTCCTCTCTCCCTCTCCAACCATTTGGTATCCAACCTCAAGATCCTCCCCTTCAACCAGCCCACTAACCCCCTCCCCTAGCACCATCCTCCTCCACTTCCTCTTCCCTTCTCAGCACCGCCGCCAAAACAGGCATTAGCATCGGTGTAACCGCCTGCGCCCTCCTTGTCGCACTGATCATCATTCTCCTTTGCCGACGACGCCGCCCAAAACCAACATTCTACCCGCAACCACCGTCACAAAACCCGCAATTCCAACCCCCAATGGCGCCAACGCCGTACCAAAACACCCCGCCGTTTAGTCCACCGCAGTTCGCGGCCCCAGCGCCATTGATTATTCCGCAGCAGGGGCAACAGCAGGGTATTCTTGCTCCGGATGTCAGCCCCATTGATGAGAAAGCACCACCGCTGGTTGGGGTGGTGAGGAAGGAGGTCCCTAGGTCCAAGGATGAGTTCTCCAGCCCCACTCCTCCTCCACCAGCACAGACTCCTACCACGCAACGGCAACTAGAACTTCACGGCTCAGTCCCACCGCCGCGGCATGAGGTTGTTAATGACGGGCAGGTCACGAATACAGTGAGCACACGGGGGATGGAGTTGGATGGTCAGCCGCAGTCACAACCACATTATCAGCAGAGTGCGCAAGGACCGTGGCAATATCCTCAGCATGCGGCGGGAGGGCAGGAGTTGGATGGGAATCAGACGCAGAGACACGAGTTATATCACCAGCAAGGCGTGGTAGGGCAGGAGTTGGATGGGAATCAGAGACATGAGTTGCCGCCTCATGGTCAAGGGTATGGGTATGGGAATGCGTATGGGCAACATAATAGGGGGACTTATGAGATTGGATCTGGACATTAGGATTGAGAGCGGGAAGACGAGAGAAGCTGGAGAAGAGATACCTGACATGGCATGGCATTGGAGGAAATATATCCATGTGAGGGAGATCAACTAGAGCAGTTGGTGGAATGATTGAATACATAACATCGAGCGGCTTACATATAGGAAATTTTGCGTTTAATACCTTGTTCTGAGTTTCTCTTCACACGCTTGAGACCCAAGTCTAGGGTAGCATAGTTTTGTTTTGATCTAATAATGCAACATACTAAAGCTTCCTCTCTACTCACCTCCTCGCTTATTTACCTATTCGTTCACTTCATTTACTCATCCACTCACTTATTTACTTCCTCACCTATTTACTTACTTATTCACTCCCTCCCCCATTCACGCACTAATTCGCTTGTTCACTCAGTAAGGTATAACAACAAATTGCTCTACCGTTATATACAATATCTGCCCCCCTTTGTAACCCCATCCACCAACCTCCTTTTACTCAATTATTCGCCTTCTTATCATTATAATAATGAATCGTCTGGTCTGCACATCCACTCGGCGTCTGGTACAAATAATTGCCTAAATTAATATACATCAATTGTCCAGTACACACATACCAAGCCGCAGCATTGGGACGCGTGACGCCTGCAACGTTCCACGTCAAGCCATCGCCGTTGAAGGCGAATTTGCCGTAGCCATTTTTCTCGGTGGACCAAGTTACGCTTAGGGAGTCTGTAGGCGCCCAGGTAAGTGCGTTGTAGGTGCAGAATTTGGTGGGGTTTTAGAGGGAGGGTTGTGGCAATGGGAGCGGGAGGGTGGGTGTAGGGGGTGCAGACGTACTATTATTAATATACCTCTCCTGGCTAACAATCCCATAAAGCAACTTCTCCGGCTTCTCTCCCGGGCCCGAAACTAACTGTACGAGCTGTCCATCCACGACCTGGAATTGGCCTGCGGTAGTGTAATCGCCTAGTACAGCGGGGCCAGTCGCGTACAGTGGCTTACTCTGCATATATTTGTGGAAGTTGGGGGACGCAACTGCCCGGATCCAGTAGTAGCCAGTTTGGAGTTCCGTGCCGGGGCCGCTGCCAGCGGGTGTCCCAGTTGCGGCGGGGTTTGCGCCTGTTAGGACGGCGGCAGAAGTCTTGAGAGTGGTCGCGGCCGGAGGTTGGGCGGGGGCTGCGCCGGGTTGGCATTGGGAGTAGTATTCACTTGAGAGAGAATATCAGATAAATAAAAATCGAAAATATGAGATTTTGAGAGAGAGGGGGACTTACTTGATAACTACACAGCCGGATCCGTTGGCGCAAGCGGTGTCACCAGAATACGTCGTTCCGCCGCCTGGTAAAACGGTCAACGATCAAGATGGAGGTATGTTGGATGGGAAAATACATTGTTGCCAATCCTTCAAAACCGCATTCGCAGTTCCCGCCAAAAAGGCCACCAAAACCGTTTCAAAAGACCTCATCTTGTTGCAGATTTTCCGAATTTTTACCACGTCAACAACCAAATAGAAAAAATTGGAATATCAGAGCAGGAGAGGGAGAGAATCAGTCACACCACGAAAATCCGGGGTGCAGGTGCTACGACCGTATATAAACACCCTGTATTTTCCATTCTCCAGCCGTAGACTTTTTTTCTAAATTCCTCTCATGTGATGTTTACGTTTAAGGGATGCAGGCGTGCAGGCAATGTGTATTTAAACCGTCGGACCGTGAACCGTCAGGGTCGTGGCTAAATTAAATTGCCAGGAACGACAAGCGAATATAGGAAAACAACGAATGGCAGCCAAGAGAGACGGTCGGAACACTCTTATTTAGAACAAGAGTGGTTGTGGAGATTAAATGTTGAAGCTTGAGCATATCGATATTGTGGGGTTAATAGAAGGCGGCAGGGGTGAGGGATGTGTTTGTATGTAACGGAGTATGGGTCGCCGAGATTCGTGATGCCGCTTGACCACAAAGGTCTATGGAGGACATTGAACTTGTTCGATGCGTTCTAATTCTGGGGGTTTGAATGCAAAGCCGGGTTGTTGGATCTTGCGATCCGGGAGTTGCTTTGAAGCTATTGCGCCTCTATCCTTTTAGAGACAATTGGAGTATTACGCCCGGGAGAGTATCTCTTGTGCGTTCTAGCTAGTTGCTCTCAAGGGGTGTCATTCTGTGATTCCTTGTTAGAAGATTAGCCACGATAAAATAGGAGATTCATGACTCATACCTCGTTCGTCCGCAATCCACGCGTCCCTAGCATGGCACTGAAGTCACTCTTCACGCTTCGCTGAATCTTACAATCACCGATCATAGCTACTCCTCACACTTCTTCCCCACCGACAGGCTCCGGCCTCGTAGAAAACACAATCTTATACCGCACCACCTGCACAATCTCCAATTCTTCCTGAATCCCATCTTCCTGAATCCCCTCTTCCGCCCCACCCATTTCGACATCGTCCCCTACCTTGTCCTTCCCATTCTCCCTCTTCTCCCTCTTCTTAATAACCGCAAAAGGCTTTCCCAACTTCCTTACCTCCCCCGTCAACCGCTGATTCTTCCCGATATAAAAATACACCCGTTTCATCCATTTCAAATCGTTCGGGTCAAGAGCATCAGATTTATAGAGCGGGAAGACTAGTTTTCCGACTTGGGTTGAGGAGGAGGCGGAGGATTCGGGAATGGGCATGGGGAAGTGGATTGTTCCTTGGAGTTCGAGAATTGCGAGGCCGGTTGGCGTATGGAGAAGCGGAGGGAGAGGGTTTTCGGGAGGATGTGAGGTTGAGGTGGGTTTAGTGAGGTGGAGGGGGATGGTTGGCATTTTATTAAAGAGAGCGAGAGCTGTGCACATAGATAGCAAATAGGAACGGCGTTGAAGAGAGTTGGAGAGAACTGTGCTGGAAATCCTTCTCAAGGTCGCGACTCTGCGGGACGCGATCCGCGATACACAATGGTCCGTGCACCCTGACGTGAACGTCCTACCTGCAGAGTGAGATGTCACGTCCGTACCACCACGTCGTAGGCTCCAACTGTTCATACAATTCTTCTGAGTAACATAACGCCACATTGAGTTTGTGCACTTTCAACTATGGTAATATCATCTTTCTGCTTCACGAAGCTTCATTGCAGCTCCAACGCTACATTAACTCATCCGCAGAGCGATTTAAAGGGATCACGCGTCGCATGAAAAGTGTTACACAATACGAAAGTAGGTTCTCCCACAGTAATAGCTAGCCTCAATCTAATCAGAAAAGGTCTCAATGCACTTCCTCCTTCGAATAGAGTTAGTCGATTGTCAATGCAAAGCTGCAGCGACGTCGTCAGAGCTCAACGACTAGACGTGAAGCTGGAAGCACCCACCTCCCTTGCTAAATTGGCTCAGCAATCCTCTCTGGGGACACCTTATCGAGGCCCAGGCCTGGTGGTTGTAACAGGAGGTACTCTGCTAGCAACATTTCGGAGATTATCGGACCAGACCATACCCCAGTCTTCTTCTTCTAGTAGTCTTTTGGCACTGGCTCGTACCATTCCTTCCAAGGCTGGGCCAAATTTTCAGCCTTGTTTGCTTCACTATTAAGGGTGGGCATCCTGTCATCACTAAGCACTATCAAAAGAATTCGAGGAAGGTTCGCTAACTTGAGCCCTGAAGTGCAAGCTGTTGAGATTGGGTACTGCAGTCAGACAGCGGGCTGTCTAGGCTTACACCAAGGTAACCAATCGATCTTTAGTACTCATGGAATGAGGCTCAGGTCGACCCCGCTTCGTCGGTGCCACAGGCTCGTGGCACGTCGGCAGAGGGCAGCGAGAAGCCTTTTCTTATCTCTTGCTATATGGCGAGCCTTCCTGCGTGTCTTCACTGACCAAACAATCTGCACATTGTCTGGATCTTGATTGGAAGACCTAGAACATGACTCCTCTCTTTTTTTGTTTTGGGGTATATAGATATCGGGCGAGATGTTACACCTATGGCATCATGACGATCCCTAGCTTCATTGGCCGCATAGAAATAAATGTTACCGTCATTGCGAGGATATTTCCCTGTCTTATAAGTTCATATGATCAGGTGCACAACAGTGTAGCCAACATTATGGGATTGCATACTCTCACGAGATCCCAACCTAGGGAAGGCTTTCTTTTTGAGTGAGTCTTTCGGAGTGTGAAGCATACGTTCAGGATATTAACGAGCTCACTAAGTCTTGTGTCGATTCACGGACTTCGGTCACGCGCAAGCTAACCGGTAAACGATGGCTGGCTTCAGCGTGTTCTTGTACCTCGTTATCCCCAAGGTCGAATACTATCTTTCCACTACCAGTTAGACCTGCCACCCAGAAATGATTTCCAGCGTCCTTGGCATGATGTCGTAGACAGTGGGAGTGAACTATTGTATGCGCTTATACACGGAGCCGATCACCGTCTTTGGAAACGTCCGTTGCTTTTTGTATGTCGAGGGCTGGGGAGCCTAGTTTTGAAAGAGGTTTGCACTCTCCCCTCCAAATAATAAAGACATCTAACACCACGACGTGTCTCAACATCTCGCGAACGTCAAAGGAATCCGTCTTACGAGAAGTCTATGACCATACGGCCACGATTGTATTTCTAGGATCTATCCACACTCCAGACCACCCACGCTTCGATTTCAGTATCCTTCATTGTGTTATAACAGAGTTAGGGGTTGAGAATAAAAGGGGTTTCCCAATCACCGAGTGCCTACAACACCCAGAGAGTCTCACGATCGTCAGGTCCATTAACACTACGTTCCAACAATTCAACTATCCCTTCGATGTCCTCAGCTTCTGTGAGCAACAACCGACGAAGATATCAAAAACCAAACTGAAACACGTCGGAAACAAATCAGTGGTAGTTGTGCCTGAAGAGCTAGTTGCATTGGTGGGACAACGGACAACTTCAATCCGGCTTCAGTGCACGCATCTACAAATGATGGACTTCCCCGCCCGAGCAGAGTCAGCTTTTGATCCTCTCATATTGCAGCTAGATGAACTATGTCAGAAATGCGAGGAGGTTTCTCTTCTTAGCTCCCAAGCCTGCCCGACAATACGCCTATCGACGCCGAATCAGTCTTCTGTCAGACCTACATCAAGCAACTCTTCCCCAAGCATGACGGTATCGACCCCTAGAAGTCTGGTAGAGCACTCAACATCTCATAATTCTGTCCGACAATCTACTAGCTACACACTGCTCTCTGGAGATCATGAAGAGCCATCCGCGAACCTACCGTGTCACCTACTTCGACCTTATCAACCGAATCCCTTGTTTGTTGGCCGACGCGATGTCATTGCTAAGATGAAAACAGTTTTAACCCTAGCGATGAATTACCCCAAAGAAGCTTCCTCTTGCATGGGCTCGGAGGTATGGGCAAGACACAAACCGATTTGCAGTTCATTTTCGAGAGTTTAGGGGTCTTTAAATCCATTTTATGGGCCACGCAGAAGATAGAACGAAACTGGCTCAAGATTTCGCTGAGTATGCGAAAGAGTTGGGATTGGTTAAAGTCTTCGGGAAGGACCTAGACTTTCCGCGGGATTTGCTCTTGAGCTGGTACAAGAGCACCCGGAATCACTGGCTTGTCGTCTTCGACAATCTTGACCTACCAGATACACCCGAGCTGAGAAAGGTTCTCCAAGACTTCTGGCCCAGTGGTTCAGCCGGGGCCGTTCTAGTCACTAGCAAGAACTGGGAGCTAATGAGGACATACGCACAAGATAATGAGGACATACGCACAAGATAATGAGTTTCTCAATGTCCTCGACAAGGAGAGCTCCGTAGAGCTTCTCAAGAAACCCATTCCCGATTCTGAAAATGAAGATTATAAAGACCTTGAAAACGTCGTAAGACAAGTTGATTATCTCCCGCTTGGTATCCTCGCTGCTGCAAGGTTTATCCGGAACGATTCACTATCTGCTGAGGATTTCCTCAACACTTACAGCAACAATGATTTGGTCCAGGATGCCGATGTTCATAGTATTGATAACGCAGCTTTACGGTATAAGTACACCTTGGCAACCGCGTGGGAACTGGAATTCGGAAAACTAGAAACAAGGGCAAGGATTTCCTTTTTCTTCTCACTTTCCTCGACACGGACAAAATACAAGAGGGTCTGTTAGCTGAGGGGGCACAAAAAGCAGATCTTCCTGTTCTCCAGTTCCTCTCGGGCACGAAAAGTTTCAATATGTGCCGTACTTTGGTGACGCGGAGTTCTTTGGTATCTCGAAACAAAGAAACACGCCAGATCTGGATGCATCGATTGGTGAAGGATAATTGCCATTTTCGCATGTCAACCGCAGAAAGACGAAACGCATTCCAGGCTGCCGTGTACCTTTTAATTGTTGCGCTTCCTGATCGAGAAGTACACGACAGATGGAACTTAGCACTCTGGCCGAATGTGCACGAACAATTGGCCCATGTGGTGTCCCTCAATCGCTACTTCTTAGCCTCAAGATCCGATGAATCCTTTCATCTACCACTACAAGCTGACTCGTACTTTGCGCGGCTACTCTTCAGTGCAGGCTGGTACGTACAATTATAATAAGAATAGCGCTACACTAATGTTGTATTCAGGCTTTTGTACGAGCAAGGGGCGTTTCAGGATGCATTTCGGATGGCGGGCGTGGCAGAAGAATGTTGCCTTGCTCACCCAGAAGACAATTTGGATTCTTTGCTTTCCGATATATACGCCTTGAAGGCATCACTCGACTCGGAGACGAACCAACCAGAGTCTGCTCTGTGCAACTACAGAAGCTCCGCAAGCTGCTTTGCATCCGCATGTCAGAAAGGTCTCATAACAAGACCAGACGTTAGACATGCAGGCGGCGTAGCGTCAGTAGGCCAAGGCCTACAAAGCCTCAATAGATCTGAAGAAGCCGAACCCTACTACCGGAGAGCTCTCGATATTTGGAAGGAGAAGGATCTACCTGAAACCCCTGTCACTATTCAGCTTGGCCTGGGCCTTTATCTGCGGTATCGAGGCAAATTTGAAAAGGCGATAGAAGTTGCCGAAGAAGTTATAGAATATTAGGCTAACAAGTATAGCAAGTTCAAGATCAGGACCACATTGTACGTTCGGTACATTCGTTCACATTCTATTTCACGCTAAATCATCTCAACCACTTGTTGCGCGATGAATCTTCTTGGAGATGTCTGGTTCGAACAAGGGAAACTTGATGAGGCGTATGACATCCACGTGCGCACCTTAGGAATGTTCAAGCAAACCTGTGGAGAGTACCACCACAGGACAGCCGACATTTACTATAAGGTAGCTTGGAAAGAGCACCAACTAGGGGACTCAGCAGACGTGATGTAAGCAGAAAGACCTTTTAGCGCTGCAGGCACTGACGACGGAAAGTCACCTACTAGAGAATGCAATCAAGATCTATAAGAAGAGTTTCTTCTGCAAGAACGAAATTTCTCGAACCCTTTACAAGCTGGGCAGTATTCAACAAGATCTGGGTGATCTGTAAGAGGGTCGGAAGTATATGAACGAAGTTGAAGAGCTGCGCCGTGAAATTTTGGGTGATGCTTGGAGAACTTCTCCTAACGAGCAAGACTTCGACAAATTGGTAAGGTTTTGGTCGAGGTGAAGTAGTACAGCGCATAGAGGGTACTTTGTCCTCCTCACATGTCGTGTAATTGTGTGATTTGTGGCTTTACTTTCTTGCGCGGGCGCGAGGCATTCTTGCCATTGCCTCGCAACCTCGTGGTCCCCTATCCACTTGTCCTCCTCCTGCTTGTACGCAGAAAATGAGACTTTGGAGCCTGCTTATCTTGCATCTCTTTATAATCCCCCTCGCTCAGGCCCAAAAGCATATTATTCAAGATTCGCGAGCACATGGCTACCTCCAAGCTCCCTTTGAATGAAGATCACGAGCTGCGAAACCTTGGTAGCCAAGAGTCCGATGCGTCTGAGTTACAGCAGTACTGCCAATATCTAAAGCAGAAGTTTGGAATCCTTTCTAGTTCAGCCTCGTATTACAATCAGCTCGAAAATTCCCTTCGTGGCAGTGGACGATCTGGGTTTCAAGATGTCAAATGCGTGGAATTGACTCCTCTGAATGGAAAAGGTTCAGACATCACTTCAGCTATTTGCCCAGTGCGCTTCGGAAGTCCCAACAATGATCCTAAGGTGTGCATCCTTGAAGGGTTCCCTTCTCCGGGGTGTCTCGCCGCCCTCGCCAATCGATATGATGTGCGACCAGAGTTGTTTATCGGCCATCTCGGCCCTCAGCAATGTCAATCCTACGGATCCAGATGGCACACTCTACCCACCGTTCCTACCCGTCGTCAGAACATTGTACATATTCACATGGTCAGCCTCGGGCGTTTCACTACCACTAAGGTGCGGATCAATACAGAGGAAAAACTTCTCAAGAGGCGGGCTATTGTTGATCAGGCAATCCATGCCTACCAGCAACGCCTTTTTGAGCAGAAGCGCTTTGGTGAAACGAGGTACAGGAAAACCCATGCTCACAATACTGAGTTCTTCAGTTTCGAACAAATGATTTCTTTTTGCACCTCAAAAAATGGCATGGGGACTCAACTACCTTGGAACGGCAAGTCTCTGCGAGTAGCTTCATCCTCTTGATCTAATGAAGTGCAGTCATATTCCTCTTACACCAAGGCAGAGCCTTGGAGCACGAGCGGCGATTCCCGTGGCAGGCTGCAGACAAAGAAGGAGAGGATGGATACTAAATCATTCCAGCAGTCGATTATAATGCCCCCGCGTTCGATCGGAGGACCTCAGAACGGCTCTCAGAGATCCAGTTTGGCACCGCCCCACAAACTTTCCATCCAATCATTGACATGATGAGAGTTCTAGCGCCAGAAGTTAGCCTGCTTCGCCTCGACCCCCTTTACCTTCTATTACGTCTCCTCCAGGCGGCTTCATTATCTTTGGCAGAGGTACTCAATGTAATGGAACAAGATATAGAAAGATGCCACAGTTTTCCCACGGAGCAATCTGTGGAGAGTCTTAAGCGACTCCAGTTCAACATTAGCCTCATCGATCGATTCACGGGCTTTCTAAACACCAACCTCGAAGTCGTTAAAACCCGTGGCTGGATCTTAGGACCAGACGCTTCCCCTCGAATGAATGAGTTACGAACTGCCTTGCAAGTGGATTACGAATATTTACTTTCCCGCGGCACTACGCTAATGAAAAGATGTGAGGTTGGTAGCGGGATAGTAGTGAGCACCACTGGGGTTCTTGAATCACAGAAGTCAATTGCACAATCGGAACGCGTGCATCAGCTCACAGCACTTGGATTATTTTTCATACCAGCACAATTCGTAGCAAGTCTCTTCGGTATGAATGTCAAAGAATTGACGGGGTACCCGGGAATTTGGACATACTTCGCTACAGCTGTACCACTCACCATTTTATCGTTCTGGGCTACCTCCAAAGCCTTTCAGCCACACATCGGGATTCCTCCTCTTCGCTATGGATTTCGACGTTCTTTTCCCGCTCGGAGGACTGCGCTGACCAATGTGTGAAAAGAGCGATTCGAAACTCAATACTCTCTCGGGCCAAGTCCACGCCTCCAGCACCGGTATTGAACGCGCAATGGAAAGAAAATGGGACTTAGTTCGCGTTAAAAAGGAAAAATGATTTATAAGAGTTACGTACGTGGAGGGTCATGCGAAGAAGCATTTCAGAAGATATAAATCTCATCAGGCTTCTGGTCCTTCAGATATACCCATCGATGATGCTCGTTGTAGTGTAGCAAAAAGTTCTCAGACGGTGCATCTACAAAGATGTTGTCGTTGCAAGCTGTGTCTCTGCCACTGTATAAAGACTGATAATCTAAGACAGCAAGAGGCCAGTCCGTAGTTGGCCCTCTAAGCAGTCGCTATATGCTTTTCACACCGTGAGTGCTTCTGGGCTTCTTCGTTGGATTTAAGAGTCAACGTACGTCCCACCTCGAAGTCCTTTCCTTCGAGCACCGCTATTTGCTCTTCAGGCAACAAATTTATCTTCAGGCGCGCCCCCTCCGTGGTCATATCAACATGGGCGGCGCGTAGTGGTTGGGCGTGTGGATACTTGTTTAATTTGTCCATTAGGAAGCTTACATCTCGCCTTCTTACCTAGACGTTCATGAATATGGACTCCTCTTTGCCGAATTTCCTCTAGGTGTCCTACCTCAAAGTCTAGAAAGACAAGATCTGTGTATTTGGGAAATTTCTGGCGAACGAACTGGTTAATCTCATCTACGTACACCGATCTCACCCTGTCCGCGTCGGAAAAGTCCTCTGGTTGAAGGTTGGTTTCATGCTTCATAAAAGCAAATCCATTTACGTCTAGACTGAAGGGCTGGCCGTGGCCGTCCTCCACAAACACCGGCTTTGGTTCGAAAATATGATTCGTGCTTCTCGCTCCATTCGAGACCTTAAAATTGGCAAGGAAAGGCTTCTCCGTTTCATATAGCTCCAAACGAGCTAAGTATTGCAGCTCGGTGTGACATCCCACCATTGGACACCTCAAGGTTGAGAAGTGGAACCGAATTTCCTTGCCATGTACACATCTGATGTGAGCTGTTTATAGCTAGCTTCAAGGCGTCTTTGCTCTCTTGAGAGCCTCCCGGTCACGACGCAAAAATTTTCGCACTTGATTGGGGGCGTTCCTCATGCAAGATAAAAGACTTTTGTCTTCAATTTGCTTTTCTATCCCTGTGGGGTTGCAGAACAAAGTGTCACGTTCACCTTGTCCTTATTGGCATTGGCTAGGCACTGCTAGTCACACGGCTGTCAGCTGAGAGCTGTCAAACAAACAAAACCTTTATGATTCGTTTCGACGTGCTGTTCCCTCATGTTTTGATGCCGTATTCGCGGACCAATCTAGCCTCTTATTGGCTGAGAATGGCTTTGGGCACCATATCGTCACTAGAAGGTCTTACTAAAAGGATTGCATGGCCCGCAAAGTGAGGCGGAAGAGGACGCAGTTTCTCCGCACCAGGCTGCATACCGCGTCGCTCCTGGTTTTTTTTTTTTTTTTTTTTTAATTCTGGGTAACTGGTCGGACACCTGCCCTTTAGGCCACCGACATCTCCTAGTCGTCTCTTCTTACAAACATTCTAAGCTTAGAAAGAAGGTAACTATCTATATATCATATATACTCTAGTCAACAGAGCGTCTTCCCGTCTTCACTTTTGGTCGCTTTTATTGAACCCTTTCCAGACAACATGTACTGAAATTCTGCGCAGAAGAGAATAACTTTATAATCTTTAAGGATAAGTAGATGTTTTTCGCCAATGCAGCGTGTTCAGTTTTAGCCACTCAGAATGGCAGGATATCTTCGCAGCACACAACTCTCCACCCCTGTCTTAAAACTGTGAGGGCTAATCAGATTATATTTCAGCCCTACATATTGCCTTATTGAATACCTTCTTATCGAGATGTCTGCCTTCCGTCGTGCGACTATGCGACGCCCCTCTTCCAAGCCCAGTACTTGGAAGTGTTGTAGACCACTCTGTCAGCTGATAAGAGCACCATGGAAACCGTTTTCCCTCTTTTGGAGGCAGCCTGCTACGTGGCTACCTGCTTGAAGGCGTTGAACGCTCTGGGTCGCGTGAGATTCTAGTAAAATCTGGCTATCGCTTGTCACCGAATTAACAAGCTTCAGATCCGCTCGGCCGACAATGGAGTCGGCCCCGCAGAACTAACACCTGTTACGGCTCTACATTATGATGGGGAATCAAGCCTTGAACATTGTTTCTCCAACGTCGTGGAGAGGTTTGAGGCATCAGACGGTGTCTTTTCGTTTCGCTTTCTCTCCCCTTGGGTGCTCCTGAATGTTAATCAAACTGTCCCGGCCAACTTTAATACTTCAAGGCTGCGTGAGGTGCTCCGGGATGCTGCTAGATCTTGCGATGTTGAGTGGACTGTGAAGAACATCATCATTATCGAGGATTCTGGCGTCGCTGAAGGACCATACTTCTTGAAGTCCGGTATTCTTCAAGCTTGGAGACTCTACCCTGACTTCCTAGACTCATTCCAACTGCCTGTGATCCCTGATCTGTGGGGCAGTTCTAAAGGGGTTCGGTTTACTATTCTAAGGTCTCTATCCGAAGACGGCCTTGCTAAAAATGTAGCTGTTCCAAGTCGGTTATACTTCAGACCAACTCGTGAAAAGCCATTAGCTGGTATCCGGGTTGCCATCAAAGACAACATCAGGCTGAGAGGAGTGCGGACGTCGCATCAAAACAGATCGTTTCTGGAAACATGGACCAGACGAAGAAAGTGCAGCATATGTGCAGACACTTATTGAGCGAGGTGCTGTGATTGTTGGAAAGACGAAACTCGGAGCTTTTGCCTCCGCAGAAGATCCTCCTCTCCAATGGGTTGATTTTCCATGCTCGTGGACGCCTCGCACAAATGGTTACCAGCAGCCTCTCGGAAGCATAACCGGTGGCACAACTTGCATCGTTGGATATCCGTAGCTAGATATCTCCATTTGGACGGGTACGACCGGAAGCATCCCGTGCCCCTGCTGCGTACAATGGGGCGTGGGCAATGCGGACATCAACTGATTAGGCTGCACCTTTTGGCGGAATGTTGCCTAATTGCCCGTAAGCAATTTTGAGATTCGCATGGTCAGTTACCTAACAGGTCCCACGTAGTCAATTTGATACGATAGGCCTTCTAGCTAGGTCTGTCGAATATTTACAAGACATGTCAAAGCACAGTTTTGCGCCTGTCATCAAAGATGTGACGGAGGTTTTTGAGCCCAAGATGCACTTCTGTGAGCATAGGATTAGGGAGTGCTCTAGCGAAATTGTTCAGAAGTATCCGAGAACCCTCTTATATAACACCGACTTCTGGTCTCCAAGCCCACACACGGAGGAGTACCAAGCCATCGTTGATGAGTTTCTTAAAATTCTAGAAGCATTTGGCATATCGAAAGCCATCTTCAGCATGTCAGAAAGATGGGAGAAGAATCCCCCTCCCGAAGCAAATGGGAAGACTTTAGATGAGTGACGCCTCCTTCATGATCGGCATCTCATGCCGATACGCTAATCGTATGGACAGACAATATTCTATCAAGGAATATATGATTCGTACCACGAATGCGATCAGTTCCGTAAAGATCACTGAGAGAAATTTAATCGGCCCCCCTATGTTACTCCCTACATGGAAAGCAAATGGTAAGTGGCTTTGTAACTTTACAGCTTTAAACTCTTCGCAGATAATTAACAACGAACAGGAAGCTCGGCAGCAAAATTACCCAGGAGCAAAAAGAAGACGCGATTACAGAGATGCACGTGTTTCGCAAGTGGGCTCGCGAGAATGTTATGGATCCAGATTCCTAGACTGCATCTAATGCAATCATGCTTCTACCGCAGGGGAAAGGAAAGCCATGGTATAGGGATGACCCAGTATAAACTCCATCCCGAGGGAAAGGATACCAATCGATAGCTATGGCCACTCTACTTGCTTCTCCCCAGTTAATAATTCCAAGCTCGTAAGCCTTGTATATTGCTTTCAGCCACTCCTAACAATGAAGCAGTCGGTCAAGTACCATACCATTCCCGTGTAACGGACAGAACCGAATACCTCCCAGTCTCCACAACAATTGCAGGCGCAAGAGGTATTTATCCAACAACGACACTGCAGTCCATAGATTTCTGACAACTGGTGTAGGTAGCGACATTATGTTGATGAATCTAGCTCAGGAAGTGTTAAGAAGCGCGTCATGGCCAACGGAAGTAATGACCGAGAGCCTAGTGTTCCGACTCGGCGATTCTATTCGGAATGTGGTAACTCTAGGAACTTCCTAATCTCCCCAGCAACTTTCGGCGTCTTTCGATTCTAAAAAGTCTCAATAGTGCGCGCATTGGGGTTACGTTGCAAACTGCAATCCCTGTCCAGTTTTTCTGGGTAAGCTATGGTTCAACCTTGCAGCAGATAGCAAGCCTTTCCTAATTTACTTGAAAATTTGAGGGCGAGTTGCAGGTTCGAAAGAGGTAGGGCGCTGATAAAACGCAACACGCTTGAGAGGGATCGGCTGGAAGGGATCTCCTAATGAGCCTATAGCGAACCTTTGCTGAAATGAGCTAAGCTCCGGGATACAAAATCAGCAAAGAACCTGCGGCTTCAAGTTGAAAATAACGGTACCAATATGGACCGCGAAATTGGCTCTAGGTTTGAGGGGGAAATTGGCCTAACTGTTTTTGACTCATTCATGTTCTACTCCAATTATATAGACCCGCTTAATCGTTACTTTAAGATAACAGAGGGAGATTGTTAGTTATGCAAGACCGAATAAAAGGTCCTACAAATTTATCGCAGAGCCTTTAACATAACCGAACGATATCAACTATGATAAGTCTGCATGAAGGCAAACAAATTTGGTGAATAGCCGTCACCAAGACATCAATTGCAAAGGCCAGTTCCCCATTTTGTCTATTACCATTCCCCTAGTAATCATGGCTATTCGAATACCGGTGCAAAGAGGCAGGTAACCATCTATGCCCTCTTGCCAAAAACTTTGTCGTAATTGACCAATGTGAACCTGAATTTCACATTGTCGTTCTTGTATACCCTCTCTACAGCCTCCTTGCAACCCTTCTCACTAAGGTCAATTGTCTCAACCCAGCTCTTGATATTCTGCTTCGCAGCTAGGTCCAACATCTCCTCCATCTCTGGGCGGTTGCCGATATGGCTAGCACCAATATAGCAACCAGTCGGAGCGAAATCCTGAGCCATCATGGTAGGAAGTGGCTTATCTGGGAAGCCAACCATATGGAACGTGCCGTTGACCTTCAGTGTAGAGAAGTAGTCTGGGAGATTGAAGCGATCTGTTGCGTCGGCGGTGTTGATGATAAAATCGAAAGTGAATTTCCATGGCTCGGCCCAGTTCTTCTCCTTGGTGACGATGAAGTCTTTGGCACCCATTTTGAGAGCATCTTCCCTCTTGTTAGGAGAGTGCGAGATAACGTATGTTTCGGCGCCCAGAGCGACGGAGAAGAGAACACCGAAGTGGCCTAACCCCCCTCTAAGAGATCACGTTAACCCTTTTGCCGCGGAGAGTTCAAAGCAAAGCTACTCACAGTCCTAATATAGCCACCTTCTTACCGGGACCAGCTCCTAATCTCTTGAGCGGGCTATATGATGTTAAGCCAGCGCATAGCATAGGTGCTGCAAGAGCAGTGTCCAGCGCATCCGGAATCTTGAATGTGAAGTACTGGTGCGCTCGCACATGACTCGAGTAGCCACCCTGAGAAATCGTTCCGTCAGGATATGAAGCTCCATACGTGTCGATCTGGTTTGGGCAGTAGTTCTCATTGTTTGCCTTGCAATTGCCGCATGTGAGATCGGCACTAATCTGAGCACCAACACCCACTCGATCTCCAACTTTAATTCCCTTGACCTTGGGTCCGATCTTAATAGCCCTGCCAATTATTTCATGTCCTACGCAAAGCGGGAGTGGAATCTCCTCCCCCCAGCCGCCAGTAATGGTGTGAACATCAGATGCACAAACACCACAAGCGTCTACGGCAATATCCACATCATCATCTTCAAACTTCTTAAGTGGGACCTAAGCAGGCCGGGATTAGCGACCTCGTGTTCGCGATGGGGCTGCTTGAACTTACTTCTTGTCGCTTAAAATCGCTCCACTTCTTGATATCAGTGACAACGAAAGCGTCAGTCGTCTCGGGATAAGGCATTTTTGCGAACGAAAGGCGGTTTAGATTTGAGAGAAGTGGAGAATGTGTGTGGCCAATTCTTGAAACAGAAATCGTGACCTCACTGATCAGAGAGGAGGGGCAGAAACGAGGTGTTGAGGGGCAGACGCTCGTGCTTTAATCCCAGAAACTAATTGCACTTTCCATGAATATCGGTCCATGTAATCCCGCCAGTGAGGTCATGGGCCAACAAACATTGGGTCTGTCCCCGCTGTCGGGCTATGTCAAGCTTTCTGCATTTTGCCTGATTGGGCGCAGATGGTGGGCGTTGCGGGTTTTGTTTCTAGCTTCCCGATCGGCTCGGCAGCTTGGGGTGTCAGGGCGGCACAGTGTGTGCTAAATCGTGACGTTTCGATAAATCCAAGGCAGTTAGACGGGGTACTTAAAAGATGACGATAGGTGTCTTCCGGAAGCATTCCACAATCTGAAGAAGTTAGAATCAGGATTCCAGCCACCTAGTCGCAAGGCGACGAGAAATCTCGACCGTTTGCCTCCTCTTTTGACAGAGCCGATGCCGTCACTGGCTTAGATAAAAAATTGGTAAGAATTTCTCCGCGAATCATGTTGCTTTCTTCTTTCCGATCACCTACCAAATAAAGGTCCTACGTCGGCTTGACATCGCCTGCAAGCAAAATGTTCCGACCATGATCCGATGTCGGTGGCAGGTCATCTTGCCTTTCAAAACTATTTATCATTCAAAAGCTGACAATTCCTTGACCCTGATAGACTCACTCATGCTCTTCTCTTCGTGTTCAAGAGTGCGAAACGAGAAGGTGAGGGGCGGGATTGTGGACTTCCAACTTGCTCCTGTGGGATATAGACATCTCTTGGCGTTTAGAGCCGACGGGGTGGTTATCATCCGATACCGAAGGCTTCAAGATGCTTTCTGACAACACGTGAGTATCGTCGTATCTCTATGCCATGAGGCAAACGGAACACCCACGAAGGAAATACTCCAGCGAGCTAACTCTTCCCCAGCCAAGTACCCCGCTGCTAGGGGATTTTCGTTGCGGGGAGATTGACTCTGGAATTACCGAATCGGGCATCCCGGGACCGAGTTAGATGGCAGACATGATCTTGACCACGCGCGTTCTCCCAAAGCCGAGACTTGTGGAGAGGCGCGGAGAAATTTGCGAGACCCCAATGCCGTGATGGAGGTCTCCTCTGCCAGTGCGATTGGCGTGACGGAAAGTGTTTAAAACCTTGGAACACCCTCCTTAATCCAGTCCAGACTCCTTTATTCCTATACTCCCATTCTTCTGTAAATCAAGTGCACCAAATTTTGTTCCGAGCAGATTTCATCAAGATCGATCTTTCCAGGGTGAACTTGCGATCATGGCTCCCCAAGAAGCGTACAAACCTCCACCACCAAGCAGCGAATCGATGAAGGCTGTTCGATTCCACGGGAAGAATGACTTGCGGTATGAGGATATTCCTGTGCCAAAAATTCGGAAAGGCCAAGTGAAGCTTAGACCTGCGTGGGTGGGAATTTGTGGCAGTGGTTAGTGACCCAGCACGTATTATTGGAGCTTCTTTCGGTAATATCGGGCGCAGATTTACACGAATATCTTGGTGGACCAAATCTTTGTCCCACGACTCCACATCCCATTACTGGAGAGACTGTGCCCTTGACTTTCGGACATGAGTTTAGTGGAGTAATTGAGGAAGTCGGGGAGGGGGTGACCGATTATGAACCCGGAGATCGAGTTTGCGTGCAGCCCATCATATACGATGGAACTTGTGGCCCATGTCTTGAAGGACTACACAACTGCTGCTGGAGCAATGGGTTTGTTGGCCTCAGCGGTAAGGGAACAACACTTGCGGATTCCATGTAATCGAAAGCTAATCACCGGCAGGCTGGGGTGGTGGGTTGTCGGAACATGTTGTAGTCCCCACCTCGACACTTTATCGCCTACCAGACAATGTTCCTCTGGAGATTGGAGGTTTGTTTCTGTCAGTGGTGGTGCCAGAAATCCAGCATACTAAAAGATTCCAGCTCTGATCGAACCCCTCGCAGTTGGGTGGCATGCCGTTAAAGCTAGTCCCTTCAAGAGAGGAGATGCCGTGTTGATCCTAGGCGGCGGTCCGATTGGTATTTCAGTGATCCTTGCCCTAAAAGCCAAAGGTGCGGAGAAAATCATTGTATCCGAAGTCAGCCGCCGACGACGGGATTTCGCGAAGAAATTCGGTGCCCATTACGTGCTCGATCCTACCAAGGAGGATGTCGTGAAGCGATGTCGCGAACTGTGTGAGAAGCAAGGCGTCCATGTAGTATATGACTGCGCGGGCGTCCAGGCTGGATTAGACACGGCAGTGCATGCGGTTCGCGCCAGAGGAACTATTGTTAATATTGCCATCTGGGAGAAGGCGTGCAGTATCATTCCCAACGATCTGACGTTCAAGGAAAGAAAATACATGGGTGTAGCAACATATCAAATTGGAGACTTCCAAGAAGTTCTTGTGAGTAGAGGACGACATGTTGGAGCCTATCCTCTGCTAACCGCCCCAGGACGCCATCTCATCTGGGTCGATGAAACCTCAAGAAATGATCACCCAAAAGATCCAACTAACAGAGGTGGAAGAAAAGGGGTTCAAGGCATTAATTCATGATAAGGATAACCAAGTTAAAATTCTGGTAGAAGTTGGGGGAGGGAGTTAGAAGATGTGCAATACCTTTAGTACTGTGTTGTCTGCTAGCGTTGCAGCAGTACTCTTCTGGAGTCCACTGGCGCTTTAGGGCCGAGAATTATGCTATTCAACTAGCTTCGGTCACGTGCATTACTGGTGAAAGATTCCCACTGTTTTTGTGTCGGCTGCAGCCTCCTACTGAAAGTTTGGGCCAGGGAATGCTTGCTTTGAAGGGGATCGGAATTCAGACTGGATAGTTCGACAGCACTATAAAAGTGGGCGAAGTCAAGGGTTTCGATTCGCAGAGTGTCAGAAACCCTGTTATCTAAGGTGTGGAGAACAAGATCGCAACCCCTGCTAGCGTGTGGCGCATCGTATTCTTCGATATCTGGAGGGAATCAGCTTTGATTACCGACAGGCTAAGTTTAAGAAGAGTTTAGGGCAGCATGTCGGGTCGAGTGCTGCCGAGCCACATTCTGTTAGCTTCGGTCTTCCGGCTGTCCCTGATCGATCTCCAGCACCCAGCCAGAACGGGCCTTTCGATTCAAGCACGATGCGGCTACAGCGTCTCATCCGATTGAGACTTGGGGGTGGCTTTGCGATGACGATTTACAGCTTCCTCGTCTCGATTCAGTAGCCGGAGAAGGCAACTCAATTGAAAATTCGGGAAGGGTGACAATAACGATACTTGGCTGCAGTGTAAATCGCCTTCGAAGAGTGACGAGCAAGGGTCGCAGTGAAAAGATCAGGTGCTGTTGGTTGGAGGCTAAGCGAGCATCGGAGCAATGACGTAGAGGCGCGCACAAGCCACTCGTTCCTTGTTCCGCCGAAGCAATTGCAAGGCTGCGTCATCGGCCCAGGTACTTTAAGAATCCTCCCTGTGCGGCGTCAACAAAGACAGATCGTCATTACATCCTAGAGCAGCTTTCCTCCAACAATCTACTTTTCCACCTCGTTGCCTATCATCTCCCTCTCAACTTTTTTTTGGATCACTCTCAACATGGCTTTTGGTGGAGCGGCTTTGAAGCTGTTCCAGACCTTCCTCTATGCCATCGAATTCTGTTGTGCTGGCATCATACTGGGAATTTACAGCTACTTCCTTTCTGTACTCGCAGATCGAAACCTTCCCATCTCCACATGGTCAAAGGCTGTTGAGGGCATAAGCGGGGCCGCCGTTTTATACACCATCTTCGCCGTACTGCTCACATGCTGTCTAGGCGGGAAGATCTTCTTCGCATTCCTGGGAATCGTCTTCGACCTTCTATTCTGCGCTGCTTTCGTAGCGCTCGCTATCTTGACCCGCAATGGCGCACACAGCTGTAGCGGTAATGTTAATACTCCACTTGGCAGCGGAAACTCGCACGACAAGCAGGGCTTTAGGAGCAACAACCAGGGCGATCAGGTGACCTACGCTGCGTCACTCGGGACCGCATGTCGTTTGAACTCTGCCTGTTTTGCTGTATCCATCCTAGGGGCTATTCTTTTCCTCATTTCAGCTCTCGTCCAACTTGCGCTTGGCCGTAAACATAAGAAGGAGAAGCGGTTTGGCCCAAGCCCTGCCAACAACTATACTCGTGGAACCGGCGTCCGCTTCTGGCAGCGCCGCCGCAAGAACCGAGGTGGTCTCCGTGACCCCGAAATGGTCGGTGCTGTTCCCGCCACCGGCACCCTTGCTCCCGGAGTTCACGATACCCGTCCTTCCCATGATACTGCCTATACAGGCTCGACTATGGCTCCACACTCGGCTGGCTACGAGAACCCGAACAAACCGCTTCACGGAGGTTATCATACCGCTCCCACGGGCACCTACAACGCCACCCCAGCCACCAATTACTGAAGTCGAAAATGGGATAGGAATAAGGAGTAGATTGGTTGCAAATTGAGTACTCGAAATCAGACGAAATTCTTTCTTGTTCTTTTACGTGTAATATGCATTATACCAGGAGACGAAGTGGAATTGCTGATGGTTTTGAAGGAGTGCTGACCACATTGGATGGAAGGGTCATAAGCAATATTATGCAAGAACATAAACCTAAAAACACACCTAAAAACAAGAGCCGTTAGCTAAGCTTTCGTACCTCATACTGTGACTGCTTAAAACACACTGCCGATCGGTTTTCAATGTTGAAGGAAATCAGCTTGCAAATGTATCGTATCAACATACCGAACTATCCCTGTTCACGGACCTAGGTGTCAGAGACGCCAAAACGCCTTAATCCATCTATAGCAGGTAGAGCATTCTATTGCTTCGCCATGCCTTTGCCTCTGCTCGTCCCTTTACCAGGCGGCCGTCCTCTCGCCTTCCCCTCTCCAACTCCAGTCCTTCCTTCTTCTGCCCTCAAATGTTGCATCTTCTTCCCAAGAATCTCCAGTAACGCATCATTTCGCCTCCCAAGAAGTAACACATCATCCATGTTGATGACCTTTCGGCCTGCGTGCTTCGAGAACATCTCCAAGTCGCGGGAAGTGTTGACTGCACCATTTTCATTAGATATCCTCAATGTACTGTATGGAGGATGAGATAGTATCTACGGATTTGGGTATACACAAGTTCCGTCAATGCGCCGATGAACTGTGGCGTTGCATTGAGGTTCTTTTGGAGGCATTCTTCGTCGACGTATTGGCCGATTGCGTACCAGAGGGCGGCCTTGAGTCCCTGGAGAGATATTAGTAATGGCGCGAGAAGGTTGGAAGGACTAACCTACTTCTTCTTTTTCTTCGGCTGCATTAGACGCCATTTTTCTTGACGTAGAGACAGAATTGCGGTCAGAGTTGAACCAGCGGAGGAGTGAATGTCAAAGACGCGCAGCGCGTCTAGCCGAAGTTCTACCGATTGGGTTCCCATGCTTTTCTTGGCGTGGTGATGTTTGAGACGGTTGGAGACATTCATTGACTTTCACTTTCCCACATATGCCTGGGTTTGAACGCTAAAAATCGAGTGTTTCTAGCTTTATCCCATTGTCTAGTAACTCTCGACCGGACTGAGCGGCTGCCATCCATTTGCGACCGGAAGTAGAAAAAAATTTAAAAAAAAAATAAAAACCCGCATCCCAGATCTCTTAATCCCGCAACACATACAAAACGAGCTCGAACGCCTTTCACTCGTCTTCCGCATCCCTCATTTAATTCTAACAATACTTGGAACAACTCTTGCGCAATGGCGGCTCCAAACAACCGACAGCGCATCCCCGAGCTCCTTTCCACCTGGGGCAACAACTTCACGCGGAACACATCCAATGCCTTCGCAGAGCTGCGACTGAAAGACTACATCCGACTTGTCATCATAATAGGTGCATACTGCCTCCTTAGGCCCTACATCATCAAGCTCGGCGCGAAGCTGCAGACGAAAGCACACGAGAAGGACTCAGCAGACCACGGAGAGATTCATCCCAACGAATTGAGAGGAAAGGTCGAGATACCGGGACTTGAAGACAGCGATGAGGAAGATGAGGGATACGAACCCAAGCCTGGAGAATGGGGGAGGAATGCTAGGGTACGGCAACGGAAGTTCATCAGGGATGCTCTGGCGAAGGAGGAGCAGAGACTCAGGGAGGAAGCGGAGGCTGAAGATGATAAGGATATTGAAGAGTTTTTGGTGGACTAGATGCCTCGTGTTTAACGGTTATTCTTGGACACATGCGAATGGAACAGTATTCATTCCACAAGCTTCGCGAACTTTTTCCTAAACGGGCCAATTTTGCTGGAACGGCAGTCACTTAATGTTGTGGTTGAGGAATCTGGCGACGCAACATCGAACAATATCCCCATGCTATTCGAGAAAGATGAATTATTCTAACGAAGGGTGGATCATTTTATGCCATTGTGTCTCTTTAGTCTTGCATGATGTCTCAATGGTCTTTCATTTTGAACTTTCGCATGCAGTCTCTTCATCTCTACCACTCCTTCCAATATCGCGTTCTCTCCATCGAATTTGGCAAGCACACCATCTGACAACACGCCTTCGTTCTCGCATTTGTATAAACTTTCAATCCCGTATCTCCACACCCCCTTTGTATCATATCTCTCTGTGGCTTCCACCATGGCACGTACCCATCTCTTGTATTCATTATGCATCATCTCACTATGCATTTCCGGGGCATTCTCTCAGATAAAAGTGAGAAAGCTATATCCACTTCAAGACCCCAATAGCAAGGGAACCAAGGAACTGAAAGACTACGACATGCTCAAGCCTCTGCACGAGGATGGGAGCGACTTCTCATGCAAAGGGTATCAATGGAACACTCCATTGACGCCAGTTGCGACATACTGTGCCGGAGAGATTTATGAGCTGGAATTAAAAGGTGGAGCAACGCATGGACGGGGGTCCTGTCAGATTGCCCTGTCCTGTGATAATGGCGTACATTTCCAAGTCCTCAAATCGATTATCGGAGGCTGCCCCGTGAGGGGAAAGTACAATTTTAAGATTCCGGACAGCGCGGAGAGCGCACGGTGTTTGCTGGGTTGGACCTGGTGAGTGAAATTGTTTTTAGATTGAGAAGATGACTGACGGGATCTAGGTCCAATAGAGTTGGGAATAGAGCGATGTACATGCATTGTGCAGTTGTTGATATTGTTGGAGCTCAGGAATTGAAGAAGAAAAGGGATGTCGAGGACCCCTCGGACTCGGAAGCCTCGAATAGTGTTCAGACTGCTCTTTCTATGCTTCCTAGTCTATTAGTTGCGAATCTGAAGGGTGTCAACGATTGCAGGACAAAAGAGATCGTAGTCGCGGTGTCCCCTGACCCTGGAGATGATGTCGTCTACGCAGATAGGCTCGGTGCTTCTGATGCTACTGCGACTACTGAGATAGTCGAGTGTAATGGGATTGGGAAGAGTTTAGCCGTCGATAATTCATCGCTATCCTCATCGCCACCTTCGAACTCAGATTCTTCATCCTCGACTACACGCCTAGGAGGTGATGACAACGCACAATGGCACGACGACGACAGCAGCCAGAAGTCAACCGTTCCCGATCAAACTAGTGCTACGCCAAGGGATTGCACCAATGCCACCGACAGACAATGGGGTCCCGGATTTTACGGACAAGATTCCCCTCAACCCGGCGTTCAATCTAATAAAAGTAGCAAGGGCCCTGGTGAGGGCGATGTCAAACCATTGTCCACCGACAGCAATTCTCCAGACTCATCTCCACACGATATGGATGAAGTGCCCCCATCAACTAGGAATAGCAAAGAGTCATCGAAGCATGATTCTGACAAACAGAAAGGGGATAAGCATCACAACAACGACGATATGACGTTTCGTACTTACAATCGGCCATCCTCTAAGTCAAGGGATACGAAGCTCGACAACTTCTCTTCAGAAGGAGATGAATTCCACAACCACCACGCCTCGCCCACGAATCCATCCGAATGCACCTCCCTCTCTCCCGTAACCGTCTACGCTCGACCCAACGCAGAATGGCACACGCAGCACACACCACTCCAATCAACCCCGAGCATCCCAAGCAACAACTTGGCCTCAGACTGCGAAGCCCCGCAATGGAACTGTCGAGGATGCACTTCCCCAAGTCGTTGCGTGAAGGTCAATCCCTGTACGCGGACGTGCACAAAACTGACTTATACGACAACCTTCCCACAATTACCCGATGGATGGCTAAAGAAGAATCCTTGGGGAAAGCACGGCAAGGGAATACGCAAGACGTCGTGGGACGCCAGTCCGGATATATATACAATTTGGACGACGGTTACAGCGAGTTGTAGTGATGGACCTACGTTTACAGCACATGAGATTACTCCAGCGCAGCCAATACCGGTGCCGCCTAAGCAGACTCCTAAGCAACTTCTTCCCGCTAAGCCACAGTCTCCACCTGATATCGGGAATGCTTGTCTTATTACGCGTGCAGCGAGGGATCCGAATCACTTCCTACCATGTCATCTAGGGACATTTTTATGTAAGATTGCGACGCAGTCCCACACGTGCGGACAACATGGAAGCGACAAGTGGACAGGCCGCCCTTTGAGAGATATAGCGGAAGGAATAACCTTTGATCCTAGTCCTGTACAGGACAGTAGTAAGAGAGATGTCAGGGGACGGATACTGTCAACGACGAGGGGCTGGGGGACGCTCATCAACCAGAATGCAGAGGCCAGACTCAGAACAGGACTAATTCCTACGATTCAGATTCAGACCCAGACCCAGACTACGAAGGCTGCGCCGACTCCCACTCTGGCGAGGACGATGACGACAACACCGACCCCGTATTCCTCCCTAGTTACAACCGTAACACCACTGTCTCCATCCTTTCATACATCACGGCCCCCGGACCTGTCGTACCTCCAGGCGTCACAATAGACTGGCCAGGACTAAAGACCATTAATAACAAGAATCTTGGGCTTAACAGCAGATAGGATAAGAATTGGCCCTCGAAAGACGATATTGGAGTTAGCTTCGGACGAGGCAAGATGAAGAGGGTGGATTGTCCATTGGTCCTAGTAGGATATTATCTCGATGATCAGTATGTAAGGAAGCTGTGAGCAAGGACGTAGGAAGGGGGATACTGTTGGGGGGTTAAAGCGAGGTGGTGGCTAGGTAGGTTAGAAAATCGCTCGGCTTTTGCATTCATTCTTTGGGTAGTGAGGAAATTAATACTTCGATTATATGAGAGCATTTGGTCATAATTCATCATTATCTCACTACCAAGAAGCCAGAAACACACTCCAAAATTTCAGACTATACCAAAGACTCTCATACTTCCCCCCTGTCCATTTACCAATCATCCTCCAAAGCCACACCCCCACCGTCCTCGGCATCATGCCACTCCTCATCACTACACGTGCTCATCGCTACATCATCCACCCCTTCAATAATCCTCACCGCCTTCCATGCCGCGATGGTCTCCGCATTAAGCTTCTTTAATCCCTCCACCACGCCTCCAACATCCTGTCCACCAATCTTTACTTGGCATCTGTACCTCCGCCCCCTGTTCTCCAAATCCGCGTTTCCCTCCCCCTCTGTATCCTCATTTTCATCGACGTTGACATACTGCACACTCTTCTCCACAGCTAAATGACCTAACCGTTCTTTCGGATGCAAACAGTCAACTTCATCTCTCAAAATCCTATCCAAATTCTCCAAAATCCCCAACCTTCTAACAAAGTACTCACAGGCTTCGACATCACCTTTACTATCAATATAAACTGCTCCAATAACACTCTCCACAATATCTGACAAAGACTTTGGTGCATCTAGCTGCGCAAAAATATGCCACGGGAACTTGCTCTCATGTCTCAACGCCCTTTCAACCTGTTCTCTTGCCTCTTGATGCTGTGCTCTTGCCTTAGCCTGCGATACTAGAAGCTGAGGATTGTTATGTCGGAGAAACTGCCACAGGGCTCTATGCACGGTTTCTGGCTCGAAAGTTTGCTTGTTTGTCATTTCCTCGCACACCGTAGTGTCGAACATGCGGAATGCGAGGAATGCTGCATTTACCAGGGATGCGCGGATTGAGTGCATCGTCTGATGCGAAAGTTCCGGTTTGTGTGCGAAAAGTCGTTTAGAAATGATATAATCCAGCACTGCATCGCCGAGGAATTCCAGCCGTTCGTATGAGCAACTAGCGATCTGTCCTGTATATGAGGCATGTGTCATTGCTTCCAGAAGAAGCATTTTCTTGACAAACGTGTATCCAATGAGTTTCTCTAGGGTTGAAAGACTGTTGATCTCGATTCCACATGGTGCGGCAGAGAACAGAATGGCATTTGCGTCTGGAATGGGCGTCCAGTTTTCCAACGGCAGCAGTGTCTGCGCACATACCAGCGCCTTGTCGAACCCACCTTCAAGATACGAAGCACCGAGAAGGGATTCGACAACGTCAGCCAGCCGCTTCGAACTTGATTTATTCTCATTCGATGCTTCTTGCTTCAACACGTCTTCCGCATATCGCGGCTGCCACCTCGCGCCCGTGAATTGCTTGGTGATGATGAATTTGTCGAGGCCAGCTGCTAGTGTTGCTCGGGCTAGGAAGCCGTTGGAGACGATTTTACCTTTCTTGCTGGTTAGCCAGCTTTCGGGCCAGGTGAGGTTCGCGGCCATGACATGCACCGATGCAATGAATTTAAGGATGCAGTCACCAAGGAATTCGAGGCGTTGGTAGTTGTCTGACTCGCTTGTGCTGGAGGCTGTGGTTGCTGTGAGGAGGAGGGAGAGACGAGAGGAGTCGAATGATAGCGGTTTGAGCAAGGTTGTTCGGAGTATCTCTGTGGTCATGTAGATTTCGTACTGGTGTAGGATTGATGGTATGAATAATGCAAAGATTGAGTAAGAGGCTGGAAGTTTGTCGACAGCGCAATCTGCAGTATTGACCCATTCGAGTCTGGTATAGGCCACGTTTTCGGGATTCTGACCGTAGAGTGGATGCAAGAAGTCGCGTCGTTTAGGAGCACGAATCACTTGCAATTGTGAACCAAAGTTGTCTGCTAAGGAGGGATCCGTTAAGCCATTGCTGATGTTTTTGAGCATATACTTTCTCGCATCGCCTTGAAGATTCACCAAGCCCCAGTTCGAAACTTCATGGTCTCCTTTCTGAATAAGATCTGACGCTGAGTGATGCCCGGTAGTGCTGATGTTAAACTGGTGAAGTCGGTCGTGGTTCAAGATTCGACTGCCAGGTTCATTGGGAACAAAGAGCCACAAGAAATCATCCCTTTCCTCTGTCATCCGTCCCGGGAATGCAGAGTGAAGAAGATTTCGAGTGATGGCGCGCATGGTGGTTATTTCTTCGTCAGTTAGTATCGTTGGCGAGAACGGAGAGCTTTCTACTGAGTATCGCTTCTTATCATTCCAGTGTAACACGATATCAGGAATTTGGGGCATCTGGTAAGGCATTAAGAGCAACATGTGCAATGACTGCTCACCAATCGCCGTAAGCTTGAGTAGAACTCTGTGATACGCTCGAGGGTTCTGAAGCTGCTGTTTTGCAACAGATACCCAAGGATCTAAGGCTGGTGATACTTCAACTACAGAAGGAGTGTGGTCTAGTATGCTAAATTCGTGGTCATCGCCTTCTTTCTCACGAGAAGGGAGGAGGTTGTCATTCACAAGACCGGCCAAATGCAATGCCTTGTAGGCTTGGAATGCTGCATCATTCTTAGCGTTCCGTTCCGTCAACCAGCTCTCTGAACTTCTGGCAGTTCTGACAGCGGGATGAACTGATATGGGAAGAGTGACTTTGGCCATTATCCTGCTATCAGCTAGTTCATCGAGTGTAAACTGGGGTCGTAGATCGATGTATGGACCGGCTCCGAGAAGAGCGCAGAAGTGATGGAGATGTTGTGAAGCATTGTCGAGAGTCAAAAGAGCACTAATTTGTTAGCCCAATTCCGAATATATGAAATCTCTCAATCATATTTGGCAAGCAGGTTGCTCAATAACCGAGGATCAAGGGGAGGTCGTGATGGAGTCCCACGGAGCTTAGACAAAGAGTAAACACTTACCCAGTGGAAGGTACTTGATATAAGAGCGAGCTATCCTCAGGATACAGTTCCCTTTCTTTGGCAACTTCGATTTTTCGCAAATCATTGAGGTAAGCCGCTTTCATCTCTTCTTCCATGGCCTCCCAAGTTGCCGGCGATCGGTGAGAGCCAGCCTCGGGAACAAAAATAATGTACTTGGACTCTTGCTTTCTTGCACGACCTCGGCGCTGAACAAAGGATTTGAGATCCTTCGGGCGCTCGAAGCAGATCACGAGGTGACAGCTTGATACATCGATGCCTTCCTCAAGGACACTTGTTGCAAGAATGAGGTTTATCCTCCTAGCACGAAATTCATCTAAGGTATTTTGTTGGTTTAAGGGTTCCGCGAGGTCGGCTACATTCGTCTTCCGCTTCGATGAGATCGAAGTCCCAACGAAGGTGCCAATGTTAAATAAGGGGGCTGTACGAGGGTGTAGGGACAGTATTTCAGCTAAGGCGGAGACCCAAACCCGTTGTTCTACAAAGACGAGACCAGTGAACTCGGGACTTGCTTCTGATTCAAGGACATCGACTAGCGCGTCGACTTTTGGGGAAATGTGATCCAGCGAGATAGACATAGAATCTGGATCTTGGGACACAGACATTCTCTTGAAGATGTCGCACAGATGCCGCTTTTCCTGGCTGGACCAGTCTAACAGGAGTTGATAGCTGGAGCTCTGAGCCGTTCTTTGAAACTTGGATATGCACTGCTGTAAATACCATTCTGTGGGAGAGGAACCTAATTCATCCATCATAGCTTTTCCCTTAGAAACCATTGTCTTTAGCTGCTGTCGACAGTATGGGTTTTTTGCCGTGATAACTCGATCCAATTGTCTGATTGAGCTCTGAACTCCTTGAATTTTCTTCTCCAATAGATCCGCCACATAAGGATCAGATTTCATGTCGTACTCATAGTACGCTTTTTCTAGGGCAGAAAGAAGGGTAGAAGTCGCAGACGAAGGAGGAAGCGCAGGATATGGAATTCGGATGAGCTCTGGACGGTGCACGAATCGCAGTAGTTCTGATCGATGTATCTTGGGCGACTTAGCAATCGAATTCATGTTTGCTTCGATTTTCCTTTCTCGGTAAGCTTGACGTTGTTGTCGAAGGTAAAGACTTACTCGAGGTCACTGCTGCTTGCTCTTGCACCCATGACTGGACTCGCGCTCAGGCCAAGAATCCTTGGAATATGAACACTTCTATTCCTTTGTAAGAGAGGTTTATAGAATTGAGACATGATACGGCTAGCTGGATGATTTTTTGAACAATGGTGAGCTGGACTAAAATTAACAGCACCATCCTTGCAAAACTGAGGGCACCTTACCCTCATCAAATATTATCAAAGCAAGCCTGTTCATCGTAATAAAAGCGTGGGTGAGGGCATCCAGAAGCACTTGATGGGTGGAGAGGACAATTCGAGTATTCTTTAGCGCCGAATCCCAAGTATTCTGGTCACTCCAATGCTCGACACCGTCGTTCCCAGTTAGTGCTTGGATTCCATAAGCAGGAAGATGTGACTGAAAAGCCTGGAGTTGTTGATTACACAGAGTGACAGTAGGGGCTAGAAACCAGACTAGCTAGGTTATAATTAGAAAGACAGAAGACTAAGTTGAAGAATGAAGTCATCCGCACTTGGTTGGGATCACAGAGTTCCAATTCTGCAACAGCTCGTGCAAGAGCTCTGTAAGACAATCAGCTCTATTATATATATATAAAGAATACTTACATGTGTGTTTTGCCACTTCCAGTGTCCATTGCAACGATGATATTAGCTTTCAGGCTCTCCTCCACCATCTCAGCCTGATACGACCGGAGACGAAAGGATTCTCCATCTAATCCTGCAATGACAGTGGCTCCACCGTCAAGAGGCTCCTCATCAGTAGACATGGTTGGTGGCGAGAGTAAAAGTCATGATTGTAGAATGGGATGAAGATTGTGGAGGACAAAGGGTCGCGCAACGACTGCAAGGGTAAAGCCAATCCTGCGCTAACCACATTTGGAAAGGTCAAATTGCTCCAGTTCTTAACCATACACCCATAGTTTAAGTCTGTTGTCTTCTTGGTTGCTAAAATTTTATCATAGTGTAAAGTTTAGCCTTTAGAAGACTTATAACAAGTTAGAATTCCTCTTGTCGTTGATAATAAAATTGATCTATCAAATACCACGTTGGAAACGCGAAGCCGTTTCTACGAAGCCTCCATTTTCACCCTCCATTTGATCGTGTGACCACCACGGAAGTGAAGTCTACGGAGACCTCATAGTCACGCATTTCCGAAATTATGATGACGGTCCAAGGACAGACTTTTGTCGACGCCAGAGCCACTCTATTGAGCTTGATGAGTTACCAAATAGTACCACTTATACCGCTGCGGATGTCCCGCCCTACAGATTCGTCAAGTAATCCTCAACTTCTTGCGGGCTCAGCTTCCTGAACCTTGGGCCTTGGGCTCCCTCCACTCCCTCGAACCCAAGTAACCTTTCCTCTGGTGGGCCGACAATGCCAATCTCTACTGTCTCGCCATTCATCTCGCCTTCTATCGTCTCCTTTAGCGTAAGGAGAGCGATGTGGATGGCGTCTTCTAGCTCCAATCCTTCCGTATACCTCTTTTCAAGGAACGTCTTCGCACTAGTCGCGCTCTTACCGATCGCCGTCGCCTTCCATGGGAAATAGCTACCGCTAGGATCGACCTGGTACAAACTTGGACCGCCCTTGAGGATGCCGCCCGTCTTGCCGGTGGGCTTCTTCTTCTCCGGATCTGCTGCTTCGGCTTCCTTGCTCTCAGTCTCAGGCTCAATGCCATCATCCCAACCTGCTATTAGGAGACTGACTCCGTAGGGACGCACACCACCTGATTGGGTAGCCTCTTGCATTACGCGAGCAACGTCCTGCACCAATATCCTCGTGGGTGGGTACTCGTTGTAGACGCGCTTGTAGCCGGTGTGCGATACCTTGCGGGCCTTGTCGACGAGAACTCGGTAGTCCGGACCCATTCCTGAGTAGACCATTCCAATGTTGGGTGTTATGAGGCTGACCTTGGAAGAAGATTGGGAGTCGATAAGCGGCGATGAGGACTTCTTCTCGGTTGCGAGGACGATGCCATTAGTAGCTGATACTTGTAAGTGCATGCCGTAATTAAATGTTTGGGGGAGTCAGAACCTTTGATACCTAGAGAGGTGACACCCTGGTTGACGGCATTCAAGGCGTATTCTATAACGCGGTCAGTGAGAGCCTGGACGTCACATCGAGCACTCTAGTGAGAAGAGCGACAGGTGAAGCGTACCTATCTGCACGAGCTTTCCACTACATGTCCGTTAGCAGGTGAAAGAAAGATGCGAGCAGGAAAGTCCGTCTATTTACCTTGGGGAGAAGGTGGTGAGGGAGAATGAGTAACGGTCAGCCATGGCGGAATTCGAGGCAGCGAGGACGGTGGGGGTAAAGGAGGGGTTGGGTGGAAGTTTTGTGGGGGAAGGAGAGGTTATTGAGGCGTTAGGGTTAAGGTGAGGATTTCTAAACGCAAATGGAGCTGGAGCTTCCTCTAGGCAAGCTCGCAGACGCGGTCCGCCAAGCCTATATCTCAGTCACATGACTAAAGCTTTGGCCAGGTGGCTTTCAACCTCAAATTCGAAGTCGCCTTTGAACTTTCTTCGTTCCTTTGTCACCTCACTGTGTCTCCAACGTTGCCTCTTGAGCAGCCTGTGGTGCATCATAGCGACTTAAATTCGGCTTTTGCTCTCCAGGTCACCTTTGCTCAGGTCAGAGCTTTGGTTACTGCGAGCTCTTGATTTACCCTTTCACAATTGATTATTTTCCATTTGCCTGCAAACTCCATGTAAATTTCATCAGAGATACCTCTCTTTTCACACAATATTCAAGTAGAATGCCTTCCTCCGGATTCCAAGCCATGCCCGGATGGTACTGGCCAGATGACGTTCCAAAGGAAACCTCGGATGAGGCCCAGAATTCTAGTCAGGATCCACCCCCTTCCCCCACATCCTCAACTACCGGCGAAACTCCACAGGCGAGACAAGGCACGCAGTCTTCGAGACGTAGGTACTGGCCACCTCGGCAATGCCGAATATGTCTCGAAACTGTGCAGCCTACCTACAATGTCCCCTCCGAGAACCTGCCGGGCTTTTTTCAATCTACTCCTAATGTCACTTATGAGGACCAGGGAGGTCGCCTTATACGGCCATGCTTATGTAAGGGGTCAGCGAAATTCGTCCACGAGAATTGCCTGCAATCTTGGCGTCACGCAGATCCTAGCTATGGGCGTCGAAACTACTGGCAATGTCCGACCTGTGGCTTTCGTTACCGCCTTGCTCGGTTAGGATGGGGAAGGTCCATTGCAAGCGCCGGTGAGTAGAACGTCCTCTCTTATTCTAATGTCCTTAGCTATACTAATAGTACCCTCAAGCCGCTCAAGTCATGCTCACGAGTGTGATCTTGATCATGACTGTCTTTTTGCTTGGTTTTGTCGCAGATCCAATCATCAACATGTACCTTGATCCGTGGAGCTACTTAACGCCGTGGTCAAGCTCAGAGCAGTATTACTACGAAGACGATGAACCATCAGGGTGGACGGAGCACTTTCTTAAGGGATTCACGAGTATGGGTGTCATTGGGTTTTTGAAAGTCCTCTTCGCAAGTCCATTCTCCTACCTTAGACTTGGGGGAGGCAGAGGTAGGAATACTGGTCGTGACCGGTACGAGCAAATCAGTTGGATTATCATTCTGATTGGCGTATTAACGTTCTTGGTGGTACGCATCAACTCACATCCTCTTGCTAATGATTCAAAACAGTATCTAACATAAGTAGGCTATATTCAAGGGCACTCGAGCTTGGAGTCGCCGTACGCTGGAGAAAGCTGGCGAGAAAATCATAGACGTTCAAGGCGACGTTGACGATGACGATGAGGATAACCAAGCTCCTCCGACTTAAGTCTAATTTGATCCCACGCTTGCACCAATATTGCCAGATAGATTCATTTATTGTTTCCCCGTGGACCATTTGGAAACTTTACTCTCCGTCCGCACATCTTTGAGTTGCCATGGTTTGTCAGTATCATGTCAATCAGTCTATCGTGCGTAGATCAAACCGCCCATGACTCCTTAGCATGTCGTGCGTTCTGTGCAATTGCTATTGGTGAGTGGTGCGACGGCCATTTGGACATCTCGGTCTGGTGTAATTGTGGCCAGAACGACATAATTCAGTTGGCACATCTTTTTGTGAAATTTCTCTTCCTGTGAAATCACAGATAGCGTGGTGGCCTTGCTCAATTCTGCAGTATCTTGGTAACTGCACCAGTACATAACCAACCTTACAATAAGGACAACCAGGACAACCACGACTAGGAATTTATGACAGATATCGGCATCCTTGCAATGTTCTCCCATACTCGAGCAAGAGGCTTGAAGGGTTAAATCTACCCTGTTTATATTCTGAGGTATGGTAAGAAGCTGTAATTAACCAACACCACAACAAACCCTTGCCTTCAGAAGGACATTTCTCACGTCTACATTTTCACCAGCTTCATCCCCAAACTTTTCTAGCAACGGAAAGACGCAGAAGCAGAATTTCCGATCTATGAAGTCATCATCCATGTCGTTGTCGTTTATCGAGTCCATCCTAGACTCATCAAAGGAGACTCGACCGCACTCTTGATCTCGGAAGAAATGCACCTTATACTGAGCCTTCTGCAGTAGTAATACATGCTGCAGATCTGCTGCTGCATTCAAGATACCGAGCAGTGATAATTGTGCCTGTGGCGTCAGGTTGGTGGATGTGACGGAGAAGAGCTGATGCTGGATTTGAGAAGATATGTTGTGTAACAGTCTTTCTTTTTCTTGTTGTAGTTGTTGCCTGGCAGGACTCTTCTCAAGTGCTCGGATCGTTGTTCTGCGCCATTCACGGTATTCAGAGCCGGTGTCGTGCATAGAAGTTGCTAATTGACGGATTGGTGCTAAAGGACCAGTTTCCGGAAGGCCAATACATATTGGCTCGCGGAAGAGATGCATTAAGTTACTTGAGATCATCGCTTGGTAGAAAGCGAGCCGATTAGTGAGGCCAATTTTGTTGTAATGGACGCTAATCAACTCAAGAGCTCTAGCGGTCTCTCGTGGCACATTGTTGAAATCTAAAATAGTGCATTAGCGGTTGTTGAAACAACCAAAGACCCGGCTCACCTGGCTTTGTCCTCCGAAAGTTGCTGATGACCCACTCTCGTGTTCGATGGAAAAGCTGATCAACCTTCTCTGCAAGCTCAAAATCGGTAACCTGGCTATCCATGCGGGTTAAGGTTGATATATTATGCTTTAGATCCAGTAGCTGTTGCAATCGCTCCTGGGACTCCTTCTCCGACTGATGAAGTCTCCCCGTAAGTTCGTTCCACTCCCTTTCTCCTTTATGCATCTCTTGGTCCAGCTTCGTTCTAAATGCCGTGTCTTGCTCGACCAATTGCTCTTGTAGGTCTGCTAGCTTTCCACGGAGCTCGTAATTCTGCTCGATGAGCTCCTCACGCTGCTGAGACCAGGAGCGACGGGGGCTGATATCTTCTTCGTATTCCGTTTGGGTCGAATCGGTCATGGGGGACGCAGATCGGGAACTGCGATTATATGGCCCATGAAGCTGCTTCCGGTAGTCATCTCTAGCATCTCTATAAACCGTCCCATGCTTCCGTGCTTTCTCCAATTCTTCTCGTAGCGCTTTTTGCTCTTCCCTCGCTACGGCCAATGCCCTCTCCAGCTCCGCTATCCGATCTGCAGTCTTTGCATCCTGTATGCTCTTTATGCTTGCGATGGAGGAGCTCCTAGTATGTCGATCTTCGCGTTCATCCGGAGTCGAGGGACTGGTATTGCCAGCTTCCTTTGCGGATTTTTGAAGCAGCATTTCATTGAAAGGGTTCTTTCGACGATGTAAGTCTTCCCTCTTCGATTTGCCATCTGCTACGGCAGCCTTCGGGGGGGCACTGATGGTGGACTGAGAGGGGGATTTCGAGCTTCGGGAGGCGATCTTCCCAGGACGCTTCAGTCGGGCAGATAGGTCTAATGGTATCAGTACATTTCGAAGGTGCCAAGTCCTGCGTTGGCATCCACGACAGAACACTACAAGGATGTGATTGAAGACGGAAACATGTATCGCCGGAGCACTCTCTCTCAATCTAGCAAGAGGTCTAACAGTTTCAACCCTCCCCATCAATTTTCTACAGTAGGCACCAACATATTGAAACAAGGGCGGACTCACCAGACGCCTTCTTCTCCCCTGTCATAGCTGTCATGGAGATGGGCGGGTTTCTAGACTGGTATTGATCTTGGTGTCGAAGACAGGGCCATGATGGGTTTGAAGTCCCACAACGGCACGCTTCAGGACAAATGAATTGCTTTTCAGTCCCCTCTCCGAGGAGCTGACGGATGATGCCTGAACTAAAGCACAGATGGCGGGCTAGTCCGAGGTCAGCCACGGTTCAAGCCACAACACAACCAAGAACCGCAGCTGAATCTCACACGTCCCGTTTCCCAGCCAGGCAATGTTGACAGCACCTTGAACAGGTGCCTAACTTCCTTCAATGTCTCTCAGGCCCCAACATACATGACCTCAAGGTCTGACCCCTCTCCACGTCGCATATCCCTCACTCCCCCCCCCCCAGACTTTCCGTGCAGACACGCCCGACCCCTGCTGCAGCCCTACACGCGACCGACGTGTATGTAGCACAGCTCGACTACATATGCCCATTGAATAGTCCGACTCGCTTGGATCGGGGGTTTTCGAGATGAATAGTGCTTTTTCCGGAAGGGGAGCCAATACCCCTTATGCATTCAACCCAGGCGCCAATCAGAGCCCCGCCGCAGCAGTGGGCAGCGCATCCAAACCGAATGCTACGCAGGACAGACTAATTGTTGGAGTTGACTTTGGTACTACGTACAGTGGTGGGTCTGATATCATCAGAAATAGGAGAACGAGAGGCCTGCAAGCTGATCAATGAGCAGGTGTTGCGGCAGTTTACAGCGCTACTCCAGAGGACATAGATATTATCAAAACATGGCCTGGTGGCAATGGTATTACTCGTCAATTAGCAATGGAAAACCGAAATAATGCTTATGTAATTGGAATAGGAATCACTTCGGACAAAGTCCCGACCGAGATCGCATACGAAATGCCCTCGCAGAACAGCACCAACAGCTCCACCACGTCGCTAGACAGACTGGGAAAGCAGACACAGAACATAAAATGGGGCTTCCAATTCAAGCCTGAGGAGACTCGACTCCGCTGCATAAAGCTCTTCCTGGACCGAAACCACAAGCTGCCCCATTTCGTCTCTCCCCTCGAAACTGCAGCGCAGTTGAGAAAGTACGAGAAGACGGTTATGGAGGCGGTGACAGACTATCTCAGCATGATATATAAACATACTATGGAAACACTAACACGAAGATATGGGGAGACATTCATGGGCATGACAAAAGTTCAATTCGTCCTGACTGTTCCTGCGGTTTGGTCAGACTCAGCCAAAGACGCAACCCTAAAGGCCGCAGAGAAGGCTGGAATGGGCAACCGACATGACCTCAAACTTATTTCAGAGCCCGAGGCAGCCGCCGTGTATACCCTGAAAGCAATCCAACCCAATCACCTCAAAATCGGGGACAATTTCATAGTGTGCGACGCTGGTAGGTCACAATGGCCTGCATATACCTGTACCACTTCAAATCCCTAATGAAGCTGTAGGTGGTGGAACGGTCGATCTTATAGCGTACAAAATAACGCAGCTCAATCCACTTCGGGTCGAAGAGTCCGCTGTTGGCACAGGCGGTTTATGCGGGTCAGCGTTCCTGAATTACAGATTCGAAGACCACGTTAAGCGACGCATCGGTAATGAACGGTATATCATGATGCGAGAGAAGAAAGCTAAAACATGGAATATGGGACTCAAGTACTTCGAGGAATTTGTTAAGAGGAATTTTAACGAAGATGAACATAACGAAGTCAATGTTCCCTTTCCTGGTCTCCCCGATGATGAAGAGGCGGGCTTGGATTCGGGGTTTTTGGTCATGACCGCGGAGCAAGTCAAAGAGATTTTCGATCCCGTCGTCCAGGAGGTCATTGATCTAGTGGAAGGCCAGGTCAATAGTATACGGCGTAAGGACGGATTGGTTTGCGGGATTGTGCTAGTCGGTGGCTTTGGACAGAGCAACTATCTGTACAGTCGCATGAAAGCACACTTCAACAACGCGCCGCCGCCACCGTATACCGAGAGACCAACACATGCGGTAGCATTAAACGCCCCGCAGACGATCGAGGTCATGCACCCGATGTATGCATGGACGGCTGTTGTGAGAGGCGCGGTGTTGAGAGGACTTGAGGGAAGCATGGTGATGAGTAGAAGGAGTCGGTGGCACTATGGCACCAGCTACGCAACTGTTTTCGACGAAGCGAAGCACCCTATTAGCGATCGATATTGGTCTCCGCTGTGGGAACGATGGATGGTTAGTGATAGAATGCAATGGCACATTGCTAAGGTAAGTACTTGTTCATTGGCTTACGCCTTCCCTTCACCCTATTTTGATACAGATTTGCAACCTGTTAGCTTTCTTCTTGACACTCTACGCACAAAAATGAACAGTCTCATAGCCTTCCGACCAATTATATTTCCTCTCCTTTTCGATTCCCAGTCATACATATTCGCTAACATCAACACAACGCAGGGTGCACAAGTCTCCGAAGCCCAACCCATATCCTTCCACTACACACGCAACTTCCGCCCCGGTCAAAGCCTAGTCGTAGAAGACGACCTCATCGCATGCGATGCAGACACGGCGCCGGACTCTTACCGCAAAGGTCTCATTAACGTATGCACGCTTACCACAGATCTGAACACCGTCCCAAAGAGCTTATTCACGCGATTGACGACAACAAAAGGGGTAGAGTTTGACAACCTGGATTTTACGCTGGATATGAAAATTGAGAGTGCAGGACTAGTGTTTGAGTTGAAGGTTGATGGTGTTAGATATGGGGCTGTTAGTGCGAAGTTTCATTGAGGGGTTGGATACTAGGTTGTGTGAGGTGGAAGGGTAGTTTGTTGAATCTGCGTTTCTAGTATATGATATCCGGCATTTCTCTTGGACATTTACGGGGAAAGAGGATCTTTCGGGATGGGAGAGGTGGAAATATAGGGTTATCATATCAACGTTCAAAACTTAGCTACACCTGCCTAGAGTTGGATTCGTCACATATTAGAATAACACACGTAGCATAGTAGCCGCTATGTTTTAGCAGAAGTCTACTTCAAAACTTGACACAATATCCTGCAACAAGTTCGAATAATAGCCATTGCACGGAAGCCATCTAACGACCTGCTGCCCTCGATTCTAAGCAATGGCAGTGGCAGCAAGTTCAAACGCTTGAAGAATGATCCGTAGCCCCTGACGAATTAGCCATAGACCTAGAATTGTGGGCGGTGGTCAGGCAAATATAAATGATGTTTCTACCAAGCATCTACCTATTTTGCAAGATGTGAAGTGCGGAAGAAGGGTGGGTATATGTGTTGATTGCATGGTGAAACTGTGTCGTCGATGCGCTTGGAGAGTGCGTGATGGATGTTAGTCTTACTTTTCACACCCGTTCTTCACGCCTGTTGTTCGGACACCACAACCGCGTAATAACACACCCGCACTCACGATTCTCCGTACCTACCACCTATGGATTCTCACCAATCTACACACCTGCACCCTCATAGAAATGTGCTAAATAACCTACCACATCTTCACTTCTAGCATCTATTATTACACTGTTACGTTATACTGCGAAAGCCCACTCTCCAATTCTATTTCGCTTTCCAGTACCCACTGGCTTAGTAAGTTAAGTACGATATTCCCACATTGCAGATCCAAGGGAATTTGTGAGCTGATTTGATAGATTGGCAAGTCAAAGAATGGATTCACTGTGTTGCAGATCCAGAGTGGTCTAAGAGGATATTTGGTCGGAAGGAAGATAAGTACGAGGTTCATACGGTGTAAGAGAGACTGTGTGCACAATGTGCGGGCTTTATTAAAGGGAGTTTTCGGGGGGTGGGCCGTATGGTGGTTAGAGAAGAGGGAGGTGGGGAGCAGGATATAGAGAAGTGAGATATGGAGAAGGAGTGGGCAGAGGAGGAAGTGAATATGGGGGAGATCGTAGAGAAACAGGACAAGGACGAGTTAGAGATGGGGCGGACGGAGAATAACAAGGCAACAGGCCTATTTCGGGCCGTCGATCTGGGATAATGACATCTCATTATTGCTGACGGCAGCACCACCTTTGCGCCACTTCTCCTCCCTATCCTGTTACTCCAGCCAGGAATTACTTCAAAACGGTAATAGCCGGTGTTCGATTAATCAAACTTGTTGCCGGGCTTTGTGGAAATCAGAAAAGGGTATACTTTCCAGGGTGAAGTCCCAATTGTAATGCAATATTAGTTTGGGATTCAAGCTTTCAGCTTCTGGGGCAAGGAGAGAGCATTTCTATTTATCCTCAATAGACTACCATAAGAACAATATACGCGATTTCCATGAAATAGAGGCCACATTGCATTACAAAAATCCTTCTCGTACTCCAGGCAGCTTCGAGGAAGAAATTATACAGAGTAAATATTAGGCCGAATCCTTGAGAGTTGATGCTGATAATAGGAAAAACTCCAAAAAAATTAAAAAAATAAAATATTCGGGGGGAAACCTAGAATCCAAAAAAGAAAACATTTCTAGCACTCGCTGGTATTGGTATTGGAGATACGGAGCAAAGCAACTCGTAGCTTGCTAGGGCAGAAATCCCCCGACGAGAATGAACTAGTTCCTAAGACGATTCATAAACTTCTTCCCGGGTCTTCCGCTGATATATTGACGCTGGTAGACGGATTAGGGTACCAAAGTTCAAGTATGAAGAGTGAATCTCAAACGAGGAAGTAGAATAAAGAAGCGAGCTAACAATGACTCGACAGAGAGAGGGAGGAGGCCCAGTAGGAATACTAAGCGGTACCTTGGCCAAGAAGTGCATAGAGGTGAAGTGGAGATTTCTGCCGTTATGTAAGCCGCCGCTCCACGTGGCAAGGCGCCTTCGGCTATATTTCCTTTTTGGATGGTTGGCGTCAATCAAAGCTTGGACTCCACCAGACGTAAACACGCGTTCCGACTCCCGCGTTTTGACGAAGAGTCCTAACCACGACAACATGGTAAGTCCAATTGGGATTCTATATGTGCATATAATTAATTTCATTCAGGCGCCTACGAGACCTAGTGGCATAGGTGTGCGTAAGAAGCAGAGAAGGCCATCGAGAGCCTCGACGGAGCGCATTTCGCGAGAGCGGAAACGAGATCCCAAGCCTGCTGTTGCAAAGCAGAACATAAACAAGAGGAGGCCATCAGAGAATCCAGTAGCGCCTGTATCCCAGCGAAATGTCGCAGGTCCCGCGACGTCCTCAAAGCGTCCAAAAGGAAAGGCGAAGCAAGCCGATATCGACGAGATTGCGGAGGCAGCGCCGGTGTTGCATCATCTACAACTCGTTTCTAAGCCACGGCGAATATCTGAGGAACAGATTGCAAAATGGCCACTGTGCTCTCAGCAAATTCAGGATCAGATAAAATTCGTGCTGCAGCGCGCTAGGGATGAGGTTATGGCCTCGCGGAGAGATGACAGACGGCGTGAGGAGGCCAGACAAATATTGAACAAAGTTTTCAGGGACCTGGAAAGGCAGTTGTCGATGGTGAAGGTTCCTCCACATACTAGGGACATCCATTTCAACCTGGATTGGCTAACGGAGCGGAACGTGTGTATGCTTCGTTTCCGGTGGGAAGAATTGCGCTGATATCATGCAGGAGAGGCTCAGACAAGAAGTCACGACGGCGCGTCACTCCAATCAACTGCTCGAGGAACAAGTCGATAAGGCTAAGGTACAGCTGAAGAAGGATGAGAAAGAGCTAAACACGTTGAAAAAGGATGCGGCTAGGTGGAAGGAGATCCAAAAACAAAGTCGGAAGGTAATCAGGCCTGGTTAATCATTTTCAGCTGGATGCTGACTGTCAGATCGCAGCTTCATCCCCTCCTGACACTGCCTAAAAATTTTAAGATGGACGGAGACGGACCTGAAGATATTGGCTTGAAAAAGGCCGCGCCAGTCGATACGGCTATGCTCGATGCTCCGGGTCCCGACATTGCTCCCCTTATCGGGCAACTCCGACGCAGCCTAGAGAGCCTGCAGGACAACCATGAGCAGGTTGAAGGCATCCACGAGGCGATGCAGAACGTGCAGGCAGCATTGGACGGATTTCTCTTCAAACACGCCAGTTCACCGCAGTATGATGCCTTGTGAACTATTGATATGCAGGTCGAATCGGCGTTCAGGTCGTGGTGCTCTTTTTCAAATATACCTAGCCTGGCTGGTGCATGGCCGGATGTCTGGAGTAATGGGGACACATGGTACTGGGACGGCGTTTGAGGTATTGTAGAGTACGAGATAAGGGGAGATCTGGGGGATAGGCTGCTCGGAGCGACGCCCAGGTAACCCAAGTTCACGGAGCGGCCGCGGTGGAGTCCGGCCCACGATAGACGGGACGTGAGTTGTTCAATGCCATCGTCTTAGAAGCCGAATTTAGAATCCCGAGTCTGTGGTCTCGGAAATTTGCATGCAGGGCTAATCCAGAACACCCATCCGCTGTCTTGCCATGCATGTAAAAGTGCGGTCAAGGACAAGGCAACGGGCGATTGGCTCGGGGCACGTCCACAATGCTGGCAGGGTAGAGACGCTGCGAAATGCCTCATCGGCCCTACTGAGGAGGAACGCGTGATATGGAGCAGAAAAAAGGCGCACTCCGCCATGTCTTATAACACACTTAGCAATCCCCCATGTCTCCGCAAAAGTCCTTGCGCTCTTCCGGACCGAGGCAGCCCCGCCACAGTTCTTTCGGCTAACAGCGCCTACAAAAGTCAGAAGCTCCCCGTGCGTCCTCTACAAGAGAGCTTCAAGGCTCGCGTGCCGCTGAGACAACCCTCAATTCCTGTCCGTCGCAGCCTCCAGCGTGTCACCTGCGAACGTGTTCAAGGCGCTGCCGTGCGAGCTTGCTTTTATTTGCTCTGATGCGCTGATGCGCCCGCTGTAGAACCTCCTCGAGCGTGCGCCGCCCGTATCCCAGCGCTGAAACTTGCGCGCACACCACTTCAGTTGATGCCGGAAGCTACACAAGGACCCAATGGAACAGCTTCCGGTGGTATGACGACGTCCAAAGCTACGGATCAGGGGCACGATGTCGATAAACCAAATGCGCCCAAGAAGAGCCCGCAGCAGCAGGACAAGCCCCCTCCTGCTTCCGGCTCCGAGGCCCCGACGAAAACCCCCAAGAAGCGTAGGAAGGTCAATCATGGTGAGGTCTGCCCGCTGTGTATCCTCAGCAGTCAATTCCCATGCTAACCCGTGCACTTGCTTCAAGCCTGCATATACTGCAGACGTTCGGTGAGCCGCAGTTTCCTCCCGGCCTCCCATAGTGTTCCGTTTGAGACAGTTGTAACTGCGTGCTAACCTCGCTCCCGATCAGCATATGACTTGCGACCTCGTAAGCTGTCCCAGCACCCCATTTGCCTACTTGGGCTGACCCGCCTCCCTTTCCGCGCAGGAACGGCCGTGTACGCGGTGCATCAAGCGAAATATTGGACACTTATGCCACGACGAACCTCGAGAAAGCGTCAAGAAGTCCAAGATGGATGCGGAGAGCGCCAATGGCGAAAACGAAGCTTCGAACCACGAGGCAGCGCCCTCCGAGTCCTCCATAAATACACTCGATCAGCGTACTAACCCCCAAGAAGCAGGGCTGAACCTTGCCCCGCCGCGATTGCCTCATAGCAGAGCTGCCAATACAGCACCGATAGTCCAGCCCACGCCCGTATCTGCGCCACAGGTGCCGTCACTGGCGTCAAACAGTCAGTCTTGTAAGTTACACAGCCGTCTAGCACCCTGCGTGCCCTGCGCGCCCTGCGCTGAACTATGGTGAAGTCCTCAACTACAATAATGAGTGGAACTCTTCATCCCAAAACAACTTTCATGACATGCATCACTACCATCCCTCCTACATGTTCAACACGTCCGAAGTCCACAACGAGTATAATCTGCTCAACGACTTCCTCAGCAACAGCCTGATGGATGACGGTGCGCTCTACAGCGGCGGCGACTTCCACCATATGTTCTCCGACCCTTCCTTGGCGAACCCCATGGGAACCCTCACCAACAATGCTGTTTATAATCCCAATGCCCCTGGAAGCCACCTGCTGCCTCCACCCGCCCAGCCTACGGCGGGGAACTCCTTCCAACGACCAGTCAACGGCATTCCTATAGATAAGGCACGAGAAAGATACCTCATGACCGCTGCGGATCCCACGGGCTCGGCTTCGGATACCCCTGAAGAGCGTATGAACAAGCTACTTAAAGCCAAGATGGATGCAGGACTGCTGAAGCCATTCAATTATGTCAAGGGCTACGCGCGACTGAATCAGTACATGGAGCGAAACCTACAGCAAGTCTCACGAGTGAGAATTTTACGGCAGCTGGACAGATTTCGTCCCAAGTTCCGCGAGAGGATGCAGTCTTTGACCGACATGGAACTAGTTCGCGTTGAGATGTGGTTCGACAAGAGTTTGATGGAGTATGACCGAGTGTTTGCAAGCATGGCCATCCCGGCTTGTTGCTGGCGAAGAACCGGAGAAATATACAGAGGAAACAAAGAGATGGCGGAGTTGATCCATGTGCCAATGTCAAAGCTACGAGATGTAAGAACGCATGAGATGTCAGTATGTGGGCCTTGCTGACTGTTTCAAAGGGGAACATTGCGCTGCACGAAATCATAGCTGAAGCCTCACTGGTCTCTTATTGGGAGAAGTTTGGCGCCATTGCCTTTGACCACACCCAGAAGGCAATCTTGACCAGCTGTTCTCTCAAGAACCCCGATGCAAACTCAAAGGATCCTGAAATTAGATGTTGCTTTTCTTTCACGGTCAAACGTGATATGTATAATATGTGCGTTGTCTTGAAGCCGCAGTGCTTGATGCAATCGCTGACCAGCATATAGCCCCGCATTGATTGTTGGTAATTTCCTCCCCTTGGTAGATACCGCATCTGGATCGTAGCCCTCGAACGGGCCAAAGCATTGTCTACGACAGACACACTTGGGCGGAATTTTGTACTTTCACATAGCGGAGATAATGATGCAACGACGTAATGCTGGTAGTGGAATCCAGGGTCACCGAAATCCGAGTCTTGAATCAATGAGGCGAGAGATGAGTTGGAGCTCACGCCCGGACGGGGGTCTGGGATTTGGCGTTTGATCAGGATTGCCATAACTAGCTACCGGTAACGTGCGAGTGAGTATATGCTATTTGTACGAAAGTGGGTGTTTGGTCAGGTATGGCAGGCAAAATCGTGTTTACATTTGGTTAAGGTCTTGGTCTGCTTTACTTAGTAGATAGGATGTTTATGTTTATTGCATTGTCCGTAGCCACCCTTAGCCAGTTTGCAGCAGTCTTCACCCACGTAGCTATCGACCTAGGTAGGCAGACTGGTGCTCTGAGTTTTGGCTCCTCACTGTGCAGGTGCGATAGTCACGGCTTCCTTGTCAGCTCTCAAGACTCGCCTTGCTCACCACGCCCACACGCCCAAGTCTCACTCTCCGAAATGGCGCCACCATCAGCGAAGCTTGAGCGCGAGCGGAAGCTCAACTTGCTTCTTTGTAAGTCGTATCCTGCCACTTGTCCAACAACACGCACTCTCGCTGACCTTTGCGCAGCCTTCGCCTCAGGACTCGCGAATCACTTCACATCCTCCTCCCACGACACCACCCTTGTTGACGATCTCCAGCTCCATATCAAAAGTTTCCCCCTCCCTGTTTCATCAGCGACGGCCGCAAAGCAAGATGAACTCGATAGACTCGGTACAGAGCTATGGAACCTCTCCACCCGCTTGCGCCGTGACGGCGCCCATTCCAATGTCAAGACGAAAGACCAAATCGCTCAACGAAAGCATGCCCTATGCCTCCTCCGTGTATTCGCCATGCTCCTCCTGGATACAGCTGGCGGTCAAGGGAGGAAGGGTCCAGAGAGAAACAATTGCGTCCGACTAATGAAGGTTGCGCTGAAGGCCGCGCGGGTGTGTCTGGAGGACAAGGATCTTGGTAGTGCAACGAAGGTGCTAGAGAGGGCTGCAGACTATCAGGACGCGCTGGGCAAGGAAACGGGCGACATTGACAAACAGCAGGCGCAGCTTGTGGAGCGCTTGAGAATGGAATATTTTGGAGTGCGGACGATTTTGGTGAGATCCACCAGGACTGAGGCGTTCTTGGGGCACTCAGGTGCCCTTCGCCGTAAGGACATCTCACTGACAGTAGTGTTGGCCAGGCCTGGCGACAAGATCGTATGGACACAGCAGAGCACATGTTTTCAAAAACCAAGCAGCGTAATTTTGCACTCGAGCCAACCACCGCTGAGAGCTTAGCAGATCTTTTATGCGAAATAGGAAGAGATTTGTTAGGAAGGCGAAATTACGAGTTGGCAGTGAGATGGCTGGAGCGCGCTCATGACATGCTCGGGGAGCAGGACCTTGAGATACTCAGTTCCGAAGCCGGTGAGCTGCGACTGAGCATCATGCAGTCTCTCGGTCTGTATGTCACTTGGTGACGACTCTCTAGCTTTGCTAACCCTAATTCTAGTCCAGGGGTATATCAAACTGAAGACTCCTGAAGCGCAGAAGAGAGCGGAAGATATGGTGAACCTGCTCGAGACCGTGATCGTCTTCCATGCCCATGTCATGTTGGCTGCTTGCACTAACTCTTAGCCAGGACTATGGGGAGAAGATGGCCGTTTCCCTCTTGAGGCTAGAGCTTCTTTCGGCAACGGAATTGACTGACCCAAGCCAGTATTACACGGGTATGTGCTTGACGTTCTCAATTTGTATGGATATTTATGTGTTTCAGTCCTCCTTCGAATAATACGTTCTGCAGTCTTGAACGAGACAATCTTCAAGACGTTCGTTGAACGACTCACTCAAGAGCCAGTCTAGGAAACTAACAATCACGCAGGATCATGCACCACATTCACAAACTGAAGAATTACAGGTTTGCAAACGTAAGTATGCTAGGACCATGGCCAGCTGATGATTGACAGTCACCCGACCGCATGCAAGATCCTCGATGATTTGATCCAGCTCAGGCTGTTCAGGGAAGAGAACCAGGGTTGGGTCGAAAAGGCAATCATAACAAGAATATGGGTGGGTACGACCAGCTCCAGCTCCCAGGACATCCTGGAGTCTTTACACGAGCTTTTTGAGAATACCTTGCAACAAACCAAATACCCTCTGTCCACTGCTGCGACACATGCTGCACAAACGGTAAGCGATTAACTTCAAGTTGAAACGTTTGGTTTTGCTGAAGCTGATCAATGCAGCTGCTTTGGAAGCGAGTGGAGGCAACTTACAATCAGGAGCAGTTCGCAACCGCCGAATTTTGGTGTAATCTCTGTCTTCATATGCTTTTCGATAAGGCTGGAGAGCTGAACAAGTCTAAGATCACGAGGCGAGTTAGAGATCGACCCGACGCAATGGATCGAAGGTTAGTTAACTCCCTGCAGAAAGGTAATTTTGTGTGCCTTGGCACGGCAGGACTACGTACACGCTCGAGACGCCTTTAACAATATGCCCGATACCGGAAGAAGCGAACCAATAACACGTTACCTGATGTATAAAGTAGCTTTGCATAGTGGTGATCCAGAGTTTAGTAAGGCCTTCCTTGCCTACCTTTTACATCAATGATCTCATTATTGCAGCTGCGGAGTGTCTTGACCATATCTGCCGGCATTCGTCAAAAGATGCGACCCTCCTTTATGCATGCGTGCTAGAAGCCCAGAGTACTGGAGACAAACGACAGGCTATCGTCGCCCTTCAGAAAGTGCTTGACAAGTACGACTACAGTGCACCTGCTGGCATACATCTCCCAGCTCTTCTCAGGGAAGCGCCTCCGGCAACATCTGGAAGTGCCTTGTTGATTGGTGTATAGATGTACAGCACGATTGCTAGTTCAAGAATTGGTCAAGGATGGTCATTTAAGCTCAGATGTTGTGGAAGAGCTATGTAAATTATTCGAAGGGGGTGAGTTTAGTGTCGTTCGGTGGGTCGGGAATTGATTCTAACCGAAACAAGCATGTGCCCAGGCCAACGCATCACGACGGCGACCCAGTAACCCGGCTCAGCAGCTCTTTAATCCCTCAGAATTTGAATGGTTTTCTAAGAATGCGTACAACTTATCCCTCAAGTACTGCGCGGAAATGCACCCAAGGAACTTAACAAGGTTACTCCATGCCTGTATCGAGGTATTTCCGCCCCCGGCTCTGATATAACTCTATTAGGACTAATTGACACGAAATCTAGTTCATCCGGCTGCTTCAAGAACAAGGCCAGTCGGAGACTAATGCCGACCTTCCGCTTCGATTGATGTTCTGCCATTTTCTCGCTGCTTGTGCATTTATTACCTTAGCTCGCGCAGAAGACTGCATTCAAGATTGTGTATGTTTTCAAGCTCGATAAAGCGAACATGGTCAACAGCTGACATTCATAGCTTCAATACTATTTGCAAGTCCGACGCCACGGACAAGAGTTCAGGCGTACAGCTGCCACGGAACTTAATAGTGAGAAACTTGGAATATCCTCACATGACGACATCATATCAAAGCACTTCCAAATTGTAAAATTGGAGCTGGAAGCAATCCTAAAGCTTGAGAAGTGGGATGACTTGGACGAGTTGTTTGAAGAGGTCTGGAAGTACAAAAACCCAGAACATTACGAGACTCTCGCGGACCTAGTCTTAATCATCCATTCCAGAGTCACGAAATCAGATATAAGCCCAAAGTACCAGAGCAGTAAGTGGCACCGTGTCGCAGCCTTCGGCGCGAAATTCTGTCGCTGACACAGTCTTAGAGGTATTGAGCGTACTCCAGAAAATCATCAACTTCACCTGGCGTCAAAGCAACAACGACATCGTCAAGTTGTCCCGCTGGATCCGCTGCCTCTTTCGGCTAGCCCTCCCATTCGATGAGCCTACCAGCCTGAAGTGCCTAGACCAAGTCTCCGAGATTGTGGCCACACAACAAGGGGTAAGCCTACCGAGCACCCCCCCACTATCGTCTTCTCCTAGGCTTGCTGACATTGAGAAGGAATCGAATCATTATCCTGCGGCTGAGCTTGAGTGGCTGGCGACAACGAGTTTCAATCAGGCGATTGACTTTTATGTAGCGAATGATGATGCAAAGTGTAGGCTTTGGGCGGAGAAGGCGCTCGGGTTGGCGCAGTGGGCGGAAGATGGGGGAATGTTGAGAGGGTTGTTGATGGAGAAGTATTCGGGGTTGACGTGGCAGGAGTGAGGGAGTGTAGGGTATGTGCTAGTTTAAGGTTGAGCGGACGGATCTGCGGGTTTCAAGTTATGCGGGTAGATACTCCGGGGACCGTTCTGATAGTGGAGGTGTAGCAAATGAAGTAAGATGTTGATACGTGGAGACGACCTGTCGCTTCGATAGCCTTGTCAAGGTAAACGCAGGGTTTTTTTTTTTTTTTTGATAGAGCTGTCAAAGTAGAGGAACAATGCGTATGCCTCTGCTTACACCCTGGGCCTAGAAGTTAGATTTTAAGTAAGGCGTTGATACAATGCGTTATAGCATAGCATGTTTAGGAGTGAAACGACCAGCTCACTCCTTAAAAAAAGTTTAATAAAAAAGGGGGACCCGCTTGTTGTAATCAATTAACAGGATATTCTAGTTTCCAAAGACTGAGAGTGTAGATGAAAATAGTGGTATGAACGCCTTCTGAGGAGAATCCTTTGTGAGCCTAAGTTATGGTGGAATTTCCTGTGTTAGAGAAGAGAGCTGGGTGGATGGTGGGGAGTGTGAGAAAATAGGGGGGAAGGAGGAAAGACTCAAAGGGGAAAGAGGGGCATTGAAGAAATGTTTTAGCTGAGATGGATGGAGTGGCAGGGCAAAGAGTAACACAAAGGCCTTCTAGAGGAAAACAAATTTGAGTTTAAATGGCTGCTAGATCTCCTCTTGTTGCATGCCTAGCTATGTAGATCATTGATACTGTGTAAAAATGAGAATAAGGTAGGAGGAGAGAAAGAAGCTTCAGGTTGAGAATCTTGTATATTGAAGATAATAACTAGGTATAACCGTCCTAAACTAGCGGCCTACTTTTATTCATAGTGGCATATGTTTTTGGACTTCACACAGTTAATTCAAAATGTAGTGAGCATTAACGCCACATAGGTATATTGGAGAGAGGAGCTTTTAAATAGGTGTATACGTGGAAAAAAAAGACAGCCCCGTTAAGGGTCACATGCTGATAGCGCTAAGAACACCAAATTAACGTCGAGGTACTACAGCCATGTTCCTAGTGTCGCACGGCCAAGGGTGACTTGAACCATTGCTCCATTGTTCACGTCTGCGCCAACGTCTCTCCCTAGATAGCGAGAAGCCCACCATGCCGAGAGATATGAGGGGTACTTCGATTTCAAGCAACTTAGACTCTGCAAACACATCAGTATCTACAGTAGATCTATACAAATTAAGGACTAACGTTATAGCTATTCCTAAACCTCTAGAACCCTCTTCCCTAAAAACTACGTTCGTATTGCTGCTTTTAGTCTAATTTATAAAGAGCCTCCATTCAAACTAGAAGAAATTTCCTTCCTCACAGCACTGCTATTAAGCTCTTACCACTCTTAATACAATAACAGTGTCTTAACCAAGTTTTGGAGCCTCGCTACAATGCTTAGGAGTCATCTCTAACCATATCTCTGGTGTCGTGTGAAAGTTCATGCAGGGTCGCCACCCTGATCGATACCTCTGACCAAAACTATCACTAATCCTAGCTAGTAGGAAACGGCCACACAATCATTACAGTAGAATTTACTGACAGGGCCGCCACGCTGTGGCTGTGTAGGTCTTGGCAAGCGGACCAACCTAAGCCTCACAAGCCGAAATTCGATACCCACAAGGGTGTGCCTGAAGCAGTTCGGCCATCCTCCCTGCTAGTGTGATCAATATGTTGATCGTTTCTGTGAAGGCATACATCATAAGCATCGTAATTCCTAAGCTTAAGTGTTGATTTACGAGCATCATTGCGACCAAAAAGGCATCACCAACAGAGATCGCTAATCCTTGCCCTTAAATGCTGTGGCTGGACCGGTTGGGCTTGATCGTGGTGCGACCACGTACTCTCACCTCGAGACTAGTACACTGAGAACGCTGGAATGTAGTCGGTATTGTCCTCTTGAAAACGTGCGGTAAATTGACAAATCAGGCAGACGCATAGTGCCTCAATGCTATGGTCGAGCCCTCAAACCACTACAAAAGGATTTGCTGCCGCTGATTCGCATGTCCAAAAGGCAAAGAGGCGACAAGCAAGCGCCCTTCAGCTAAGGCCGCAGGTGCCAGTGCCAGCTCACCTACAGGCTTCCTGTTCGCTCCATAATCACGAAGAGACCTACTGGAGTGACAAAATAGACAGACGACAACGAGAGCAAATCCTATGTAAGTTCTTAGTACCTTGGTGGCATTTAACATGCGCCCAAGGCATCCAAGGCAACGAGATCAAGCTAATAGACCTCTAAAAGCGCTACTTTGGCAGCAACACACTGTCTTGTTTAAGCCACCAGATTTTGTATCAAGGCTCAATGGCGACGGCCGCGGAAGCTCCAATTCCCGTGGCGGATGTCGGGTTCACCATCCTGAGTGATCCCCAGGACGCAGTGATTGAGTACCTTCCCACAAGTGACCTCACTTGGTGGTAACAGTTCGAACTGACGCGAGCCAGCATCGTCTTTGTCCATGGCCTCCAGGGACACCCACGGGATACCTGGACGTACAAACCGAAGTCGTCTCGAAGCTCCCTGGAGCACTCCCTCTCTCCTCCATCAGGAGTCTCCAAAAGCAATAAGCCACGAATCCGCAGCATCTCTCGCATGTTCTCGAAACGCAAACACTCGGACCCTAGACAATTAGAGGGAGGCGTCGACCGGGTTGATAGCAAACAAGAAAGGGGCCAAGGAGACGATGTTTTCTGGCCAAGAGACTTGCTTAAGGATGACTTCCCTAAGGCAAGAGTTATGACGTTTGGCTACAACACCAATGTCACCAGAGGCTACACGGCGGCACATCAAGGCAACATCTTTTCCCACGCAAGAGATCTCCTGTATGCATTAGAGAGGAAGAGGAGGAAGGCAGCAGACCGGGATCTGGTCTTTATCGCGCATTCGCTTGGTGGGATCTTGGTAAAAGAAGTGTTGCGGCGCTCTGAAATAGACCCAGACCTAAAGATTAACAAAATATTTACGTTCACTACTGCGGTCTTCTTTTTTGGAACTCCGCATAGAGGAAGCAAGGACTGGGCGTCGTTTGGGGAAGGCGTTGCCGGCGTTGCAGGTCATCTGTTAGGCATGGACACGAATAATCAAATCATCCATGCGCTGTTGCCTAGCAGCCCTGAACTTGAATTGTGCCGGGATTCATTTACAGTTCAATGGGCAAAACGCGGGAGTAGTCTTGTAGTAAGGACTTTTCAGGAATCAAAAGGAGTTTTTGGCGTTAGATGGGGAGGATTTAGTCAATTAGTAATACAGGCCCGTCGTTAACTATTTATTTAATAGGACTGACCAGAACGATAGGTTGTACCTCCAGACTCTTCCTCGCTAGATCATCCGAATCAGCGCGCCCGGACAATAGATGAGGACCATATAGGGATGGTGAAGTTTAGTAGCAAGAACAGTGGAGCATATCAGATGGTGAAAGATGATATTGAAGAGCTAGTTGAGAGTAGCCAGGGGGCCAGAGAGTCGAGAGATGGAGTAACTAGTTAGTATAGCAGGATATCTATATAGTAAAACATTACTGATACTCCCACAGAAGAACTGGGCCAGACTCAGGTCGTGAACATAACGAAAGAAGATCAAGAATGCATCAAACACTTGCGACTCACCGATCCCCGTGATGATAAGAAACGTATTGAGGAAACCAAGGGTGGCCTGTTGCCGGGCTTGTACGGCTGGATTCTCGAAAACTCAGACTTCCAACAATGGCGCAACGACCCGCAGAGCCGACTGCTATGGATCAAGGGCGACCCCGGCAAGGGTAAGACTATGTTGCTTTGCGGCATTGTGAACGAGCTGGAGAAGTCGATGGTCAAGACGGACCTCCTATCCTACTTCTTCTGCCAAGGCACGGACTCGCGTATCAACAACTCCACCGCCGTACTACGCGGCCTAATCTTCATGCTCGCTGACCAGCAGCCGTCGTTGACCTCACATCTCCGGAAGAAGTATAACCAGGCAGGAAAATTGCTCTTTGAAGATAGAAATTCTTGGGTCGCCGTGTCGGACATCCTTAAGAACATACTACAAGACCCGAACCTAAAGACAACTTACCTGGTTATAGACGCCCTCGATGAATGTGTTAAGGACTTGCCGAAGCTCTTAGACTTCATTGTCAGTACCTCCTCGTCGTTGACCAGTGTAAAGTGGCTGTTGTCTAGTCGGAACATGCTCCACATCGAGCAAAAATTAAGATTTACTAATGAACGGACAAGACTGAGTCTTGAGCTGAAGGAAAATGCGGAGCAGGTATCTCGCGCTGTTAGCAAGTATATTGACGACAAGCTGTCGTGTCTACACTCACTTCAAGACGACGACCTGAAAGACCGAGTACGAGATATCCTGCGCCAGAAGGCGAATGGCACCTTCCTCTGGGTTGCCCTCGTGGTCCAGGAGCTTGAGAGGCCTGAGAATTGGGATCCTTTACTGGTAGTAGAAGAAGTGCCAACGGACCTATACCAGCTCTACGACCGCATGGTGAATCAGATCCAACAGCTTCCTGAAAGACACAGGGAGTTTTGCAACCTTATGCTTTCCATTGCTACTGTCGCGTATCGTCCACTTTTCTTGGCTGAGATAGGCAGCTTGTGCGGGTTACCAGAAGATATTTCTGTATTGACAGATAATGTAAGAAAGGTCGTGGCCATGTGTGGTTCGTTCCTTACCATCCAAGAGGATCAAGTCTACCTCATCCATCAATCAGCCAAGGACTACTTGAGTGACAAGGCGCGAGCTACCATTTTTCCATCCCAAGAAATAACCCACGACAAAATCTTCTCTCGATCGCTAGAGCTGATGTCCGGTACGCTTAAACGCAATATGTACGGTCTCAGTACGCCAGACTTTCCGATCGACCAGGTCCAAGTACCGGTCCAAGACCCACTGGCGATGACGCGGTATTCGTGCGTCTACTGGGTTACCCACCTTTGTGACTCGGTTTCCGGCAAAAGCATGAAACGGGACGAATTATGGGACGAAGGTACTGTCCACACCTTCCTTAAAACAAAGTATCTGTACTGGCTTGAGGCTCTCAGCCTTTGCAAGAGCATGTCAGAAGGGGTGATTTTAGTAGCAAAACTCCAGACTTTAATCCAGGTAATCCTTAGGTTAGCGACGCTAATCATGTATGATGTGCTAACACAATCTAGGGAGAAGCGAAAGCATCTGCATTAATTGAGCTAGTTCAAGACGCGCATCGATTTATTATGTATCACAAAGGGAGAATAGAGAACAATCCCTTGCAGGCATACGGGTCCGCACTCGTGTTCAGCCCAGTCCGCAGCTTAGTAAAGGCTCTTTTTAAAGAAGAGCAAAAGTGGATAAAGGTATTAAAGGCAGATATAGGAGATAAGTGGAGTGCCTGCCTCCAGACGCTCGAGGGCCATAGC